AAGTAATTCCTTTAAATATAGACAAGCAAGTCAAAGAAAGCAATTATCAACATACCCGTACTTTCTCTGTTTGCCTCTCCAGCTCACCGTTGGTATTTTCAGATATTTTTAAAAATCGTGCAGGCCTGCCAACCCCATTTTTAGTAATAGTTTATGAGTAAAAATTTTTTATGGTTCAAATCGCTCCAAGGTAAGAACGTTTGGCTCTGATTCAGCGCCAGCTTAAAATTATACATTCCGTTGTGAAAAAAAGGAACGTATGTCACTTATACATGAAGCGCCTCGTCATGGCGCGTCTTCAATAAGCTATCGGAAAAGCATACCTAGTGATGCGTTTTCCTTTCAGGCTATATATTCTCAGACGTATGTATCGGTTACGTTTGCCTACTCCAATAGCGAGATCATCCCTTGTTGTTTCCCGCAATTTTCAAGCTTGTAAACATAACGCATTCGACAAAATAATGAGAAAAGAAAGGCCAGGAAAAACAGACCAGGAAAGTTTAAAAACCATTTTGTATGGACAGATAATTAAGAAACGAAAAAGGAAAAATTAATGCACATTGTGCACTTACGGACACACTCTTTCCAGTTTGACTGCGAAGCCTTGTAACCAGAGTTGCAAGCACAAGTATAGCGACCATCATAGTCTATGCAGCGGTGTTCGCACCCTCCATTGTTGTATTCACACTCGTCACAGTCCATCGATTCTGTGCTACTCCCAACGCAATCCCTTCCGCCATAGGCAGGGGATGGATTGTCACAGTTTCTACGTCTTGTTTTGTAGGAACCTGAGCATGACGTCGATTCCCAAGAGGCTGGTTCCCATGCTCCCCAATGGCCATTCTTTGGGGAAGGCCTACGGGCTAACATGAAATAATATAAGAAGTTGAATAATTCTGTATTAAAACACCGCTTTCAAGGACAAATGGCAGGTTTGCCCTTCTCATCCAATCGGAAAACACGGTTAACTTGAAAGGTAAAGCAACAGCCTTTAAACAAACCAAAATTACCGACGACAAAAGCAAACATGGACATGAAGATACGGGCAGATTGAAAGCTGGTTTTGTGAAACAAATTGTAAGGCAATGTTTACAAATGCTGTAGAGCTACACACTATGACTGGACACTGAATACAGTGTGCAACCCCACAACGTACAGTTGTGACAAATATGCTAGTTTCTTTCATAGTTTGCTCTAGAATTTAAATTTGCTCGCAACTATTTTTTTTGCTTTCTTCTTCCATTGCTTTGCTTTGGTCGAAAGCTAACAAAAACCTCGCTTATATGAAACATCTGGAATCTTCGTGTTGTGAATTTCACGTGAGTGTATACTTGAATAGGTGCCGACTAGAATCATACACAGAATCAAAAGGAAAATCGTGTTTTCTAGAGTAAGAGAGACAAAGGATATGTTTCAATGATATGTTTCAGCGTGGAATGGGCACGAAATTTCTGGGATCTAAACCCTCAGTCTTTTGCTCTGTTCTTTCATCGCTCATGGGTTGAATTAAGAGTCAGAAATACACTCGATCGACTTTCTTTCAAAAGATTCTAATTTAGTGTTTAAAATAGGCATTTATATTGATAACTAATAAGTTTCTTTCTTTTTCTATTTTTTTCTATGCTGAAAAGGAATGCAACTTGCCCAAACACATTCCTACTGAAAAAGGTCTAATTTATTTTGCCCGAAGGCCATTGCGCAAGAATTTCTGGATTACTGCCAGTACCTGTAAACCAAAATGAAAAACGCGAACCTTCAAATCGAAATTACATGCTTGCAACTGTTTCCCCCGCTGAATTTACACCCTTTTTGCGTGCACAATTTTTGCCTGTTTGTGTTTTGCTCTGCTTTGTTTTCATTTTATTTTTGTTTAGCATGCACCATGGGATTTTTCCCTCCAGTGCATCAATAAATGATTGAAAACCGAAAGTACAATTTGAAATGTAATTTTTTCATTTAAGGACAAAATACGATTCATATTTTTGTGACTTAAAGTTAAATGTTCAGTTCGAGAGCGAAAACCTGAAGGGCTTAAATCCGTATGGAGACTATAAGTAAGTCTTTTAAAAAGGAGTCGACAAGTCGCTCATGACGTAATTGACCTGTTCTTATTTAGGTATTCATCTATTTGAGCTTATTTGTATTAGAATACATCGGCATAGCGGAAGCGGGGTCCCTTTTTGTAAGCTAACTCAAATCATCACGAGTCACAAAAAAAAAATTCGAAAAGAAAGTCTGTTTTAAAGAAAGCAGATGTTTGTTTAAAATAGTAAATTCCTTTTTCTTTTCTATGTCACCACACTGTCGATCCCGTTCGAAATCCTAATTTTTTTCGGCGCTATTCGCATATATATCTGACAGTCTGTCGCCAAGTGAAATTAACTTAGAAAGCTGTTTGTTTGAACACTGGCTAGGCTCTGCCTTAAATAAATTTCTAGGTATTTCCTTAAAGGGAACGCGCATTGAAGAATTTATTATGGTGACTGACTTAGGTAGAGGGGCCTTCTGGTCTCTTCCGGTATCGAAAGTTACATTCAAAAACCTTTGCGGAAACTCTTCAAGGTAGAATTCAAAGTGTTGATCAAACTATGGCATGGAAATAATTTTTAGTTGAAAACAATTCTCAAAAAACGGGAAATGGGTGAAGCGAAACAAGTACTTCAACCGAAGTAAACTTAACATACCAATTGGGGGAACTTAATGAATTAAGTCCACTTTCGATTCGCAATAAATGTATGATGATGTCCTTTACCTAGTCTTTCAAGACAATGATAGAGATTATAGTGTTAAATAAATTTGAGAACAACATAACACAGAAAATATATGCTCAACTTAGACTAAATGTCACATCATGTGCTGGGTAATATTAATGGAAAATTAAACACCCCCCCGAAATCGGTTCGTGAATGCCCACACTACTCCGAAAGTAATGATAGCAGTTAGTTTCAATCCTGTGTAGACTGGTGCCTGCTCTAAAGTAGGTAAACAATTTGAGTTTTGAATATCGAGAATCATTAAATCTAGAGCTACAGCAGTATTAGACATTGTTGTTATTAAAACTCTAGAATATATTTCGATAAATTTCTTTGCCGTGTATGTTCTAGTGGGCAGGTGTTTGCTAAAGCTAACCTTTGTGCATTTTCAGCCTACAGTTAAGACACTGAAAATTCCAACTTTGAAGCTGTACTGATGTACTTTTAAGTCAAACAAATTCGCTAATTTCACCTTATCACGTAACTAATTTAATGACAATCAGTTCTTCCATCAATCCAAAGCATAGATCGTAAGAAGATGGAGTTAAGCGCAGGCCTTTCTCTCAGCACAACCCAGATGTATATATTATGGCGACAGGCAGGAAAACTTCAAGTTGAGGTTAGATGGAGTTGTATGTGATCTATTCTCGATATCTACTCGGGGAAATGTATTTATAAAGCAGGCCATCAAGACTTGATTAAGAGATGCAACCCCGATACACAACCGTGACTTTGCACTACAAGGGACGAATTCAAACCAGGAAGTTGTACTTTACGGTCGTCTTTGCCAGCCGAGTCTGCGTTTTTAATTTTAAAGAAAATGTTTAAATAACTTTTGCATTTCCTAAAAACCCTAGAAATTCATGTTAACTTACTCCATGGACAACTTACATGTGTTACAAAGAAAGGTGTAGTTTTGGAGCAGACAGCTTGCATGACGATGATATAAAAATAATGGGTTCTCAAGATAAGCCACTTACTATGTCGACGGCGGCAACATCCCTCCACATTCCCTTGGAAAAAAGGAATAGAAACCAAAGAAACAGCCAACAATAGCGGGAGAACTAACTTATGCTGCATACTGGCTGACAATTTAGAGCGAATTAGCTGTGTGCGTAGCTGTTGCAGTTAGGGCCTGTTTACATGGAGTGGGGGACCCCGGTCTGGTGGGGTTGGTTTCTTTTGTTTTCACGCTCTGGAGGACACAAAACAAAAGAAACCTACCCCATTAGACCGGGGTCCCCCACTCCATGTAAACAGGGTCTTAATTTTTATTTCAGCTAATTTTTGTTTTTCTTTTGTTTTAAATTCATAAGCATACATTACCATCCCCAAAAACAATGGTAAAATAAAATTACATAAACTTAAATAATAAATTAACTACAACAGGCCTTGACGCGCCCTATTGTATGTAGTTAATAAATTCGGCAATAAGCATTGTGATTGATTCGATTCGTACACTGCGCACAATGAAAGGGGTACAAAGTCCCCGAATTTAGAAGGTGATGTAGCGCCGCCTAGACAAGGAAGTGAACGCCATAAAGAATGTTATTCCATCTTATTAAGGATACTGATGTAGGTATATGAGTTCTAACAATAATTTTCAATAGCAATAGAGAACTAACCGATATTCAAGTTGGTATTTTTTCACTGTTGTCTATAAGGAATATGATAAATCTTGTATATGAATTATGGAAGACGTTACATAATCTATTTTGAGCGGCTACCTTATTTCAAAATTCAAATTTTAACCTACCTTACCTTTTGTTTACAACCAAACGGGGACTTTGCAATGATTTAAATTTGGACTGATGGAATGAAGCCATAATTGCAGCTTCTTTTTCTTAATATTTCTGGCAGTATCAAGTCAAAAATTATTCTTCTCTTGTTTGGTTTGCACCCGAGGTTTGCAGCGCTGAAAAGGGGTCACAGGGCGGTCACCATGGTATTTTTCACCGAAGAACAAAACAGAAATTGCGATGCAACGTAACTGAAACGAAGCAAAGCAAATCGCGAAAAATAAAGAGCGTGTTGAAATATTCAAATTCTAACCTTGGCTGGTGGCAGGAGATTATAGTTTACAGTGCAATGACTGCAAAGTGTTCGCAGCGGAAGTCGTCGACTTCCTTTCCTCCCAAATAAAACAAGGCCACCATGCAAGTACTGAGTCATGGAAGATATGGAAAGGACTGATCACTAAAACATTGGTATATATAGCCTGTCTGTTTTGTTTCTTTATGCCAAGAAGATTAAAAGTAGTTCTTTCGGTGTCTTGTTTCGATACCGATGCTGTTTCACGCTGCTGTTGCGATGTTTAGTTTGAGTAAACAGTTCCAAATATTCAGAATGATCAAAGCTTCTAATACATTTTTGGGTGATTGATCCTTTGTTTTAAACAACAATTACACAAACCCGGCTAAGTACCTTTTTAGAACAGTCCCTTTAAGACGAAACCGAAAGTAGTCTAGTTAAGCTTTTGTAAATGCTTCTTAATATTCAGCCGTATAGTTCTTACGTTCATGTGGTCGTCTATTCAAAATTCTAACAAGGCTTTCACCGGACAACACCTCTTTTCAGCTAAAAGGTTTATTAAAAACCCTGACAAAATGCATTTTCCCAAGTTAGCCTAAACAGGATCTTACATAAATGGTAACTAGTAAAAATTTAGGCTATTTAGGTTCTTAAATCGGTTCTTATTTTCTGAAGCAAAAATACATTGTAGCTAAGAGTATTTAGTGGTATTCAGCTCATTCCCAATACAATTGTAGTTGGAGGTAATAAGGCAACTATTGTCTCCAACGACGATCCATGTTGACGTATCTTATTCGCCCAAGTGTAAAGAATTTTTTTTTGTAGATTTTAGAATATAAGGACCTGTTTCAAATTTAAGACTAAACAGGTTCTTGTATAGAGGGGACCTAACTGGCAAGTTTTAGCTCAATAGGTTCTTAATAACCAGGTTCTTAGTCGCCGGTCTATGTATCGTAATCTTTTGACAGTCAAGCATGTCTGCGGCGATCAGTGATATTTGCCCGAGCGTGTTGAGTAAGTCAGTGATTAAGGCTGTCAAGAGATCATGATCTCTTAGGTTGTATTCTTAATGTAAATACAGTTTAACACGGAAATATACCCAAAGGTTTCGAGTTTGTCACAGTGTAATTCTGCAATAGAAGCGTCGCTCACGCGCTTGGGTGATGAGATTGAAGTTTACTATCTGTTTACCTACAATTTCATTTGCACTTGATCAACGAACTGTTAATTATTCCCCCTTGTAGTAAAAAGAATCTGAGCCATTTTCTACCTAAACCGTTTGAAACATTAATATTTAGCTGAAGAAACAAACTGCAAGTAGTTAACATTTACGAGGGAGTGTATTGACTATGCATTTCTAACGTTTTCTTGTGTTTTATGTTTCCTTCAGTCTTAAGGGTTTTCACTCATAATGAGTCCTATTGGAAGTCATTTCAAGTGGATAGCTCCGTTTGCTCTGATAACTCTGATCCTGGAAAGAACTGCAAGAGGTCATGGAGGTAAAAATATTTGATTATTTATTGGCCTCTTTCTCAGTCTGACATGTTTGCTTCAAGTACAGATGCAGAAAAGAAGATTCAGATCATTGCATTGATTTGATAAGATATCCAATATTGAGGTTGGGGGGGGGGGCATATAGCTGAAGAAGTTACGAAAGCTGTATAAAAAAAAGAAAAAAAACGTAATGAAAATGCTGCTCTCAAACCGCCAAACCGCCTCATTAGTCCTTGCAAAAGCAGCCACAAAGCAGCATCGTGATCGCAACCCTTACGTCACGCTAGAACGCTAGAATGTGGGGTGGGGGAAGGGGGGTTGCTACAACATTTGTAGCTATTTGTGTGGTTACAGTTGGTACCCATAAGACGTCATGTTTTCTTCTTTGGCCTTGTCATGTCAATTCCATTAGTACGTTTAAAACATGACTGACAGATTGTTCAGTCATTTGATTAAGAGTACCTAGGCCTGATAAATTCCTTCTTGGTGTTCACCTTACTGAAACATGTGGTCTTTGAGTGGAGCGAATCTGTCGGTTTACCAGCCTCGCCAGTGACCCTAAGGCGGAATCGGAAACTCAAAAAGAACGCTCGCCCTGCTCAGTACGCGAAAAACGTAGAGGAGCTATGTCACACGAGGATATTGCTGTCCAACGTCAATTCTGTGCTAAAGTCATTACTCAGTGTGTAAAACCATACACAAAATGCTTCTGTAGACTGTTATGTGAATTTTACCAGAGAGCATGATTGGTGATTTATGCAGGGATAGCATTAAAACTTGAAAAACTTGGCTCTATTTTTTAAAAAAATTCAATTCATGTTCATCCTTGCCATCCGTAGTAACGGACGATAGATTCACAGGGGCACCCAACGACCAATTTGTTGTAAAATGTATTATTATACCCCCATTAATGAAAATAAATGTTATTAAGGCATCTTCACGTGTTTTTCAGTGTTGCTGGGAAAATATTATCTGTTCCTTTTTCCCAGCAAGACACACAAGAAATTTCCCAGCCAGCTAGATAAAATTGGTTGGTTTCCCAGCCAGCTGATCAAATTTATTTCCCAGCCAGGAATTAAATTAATTAATATAAATGAAAGGAATAATAATAATAATAACAATAACGATACTTATATTAATGTGGCTAAATGTAATTTAGGCAAAGTTAACCTCGAAACAATGCTGGTTTGCAGTTTTTCCTGCTATACTGGGGGTGGTCTGATGCCTCTAGCAGGGGCACCTTGTGATCTATATACGCAGTTGCTTGCTTGCAGTTCTTCGCAAAGTGTTGTTGCAATAGCCTGCTATTTGCGTGTCATTCTGTTTTGTTTTTTTTTTTTACAAACAGCTGTAATTCTTGTGTTAGTATATGATACTCTAAATGTACTGCTGTCTGGAGCAGTCTGAATTTTAGGAGACTTTTGTGAACCTGGAAAGTGAGCACAGAATTCATAACACCTAGCAGCATTGTACAGTTGCAGTATTGTTTAACATACTTGCTAGGATAAACCAAGGTAATGCCCAGTTCCTTGCTATTTCCACAGCCTGAAAAATAATATTAAAAAGGAAAAAATAAGAGACAAATGTTAATTGACTACAGCCAGCAGCAATACTGATTGAGTGTGATGTTTTTAGATCTAGTTATAGCCTTACTAATCAAAGCTATTGTTATCACAGGGGCCCCACACAAAGTGCGTGACCCTTGGTATTATTATTGAATTCAGAAGCAATGTATGAGAATAGCAAGAAGTTCCATAATTATTACTGTACTATTCTGTGATCAATATTATATTTTCATATAAGATGAGGATAAACCGACCTTTATCTGAAATGAAGTGCTGTTGTTGTTACATTGTATGGCTGGAAATGGCAAATTTTAGCGATTTTTTCCTGAGCAATGCAAGTCCTTGAAATTGAAGGTTAGTTTATTCTCATTTCATATGTAAATATTTATTGCAGAATAGTACAATCTTATGGAACTTTTTGCAATTCTCATACATTTCTTCTAAATTCAATAATACCAAGGGTTACCCACTTTAGGTGGGCGTCCTGTGATTGGTGGTATTTGTAAAAAGTAGACTCCACCCCTTTAAATTTTTAGGTGTAGAAACCTTACGCTTAAGTTGAAACATATTTATTTATCATGAATGTCTGTGCCAAACAACAACAAAAAAAAGGTTGAGGTAGCAATCTATTTGTTATCATGGTGCTGCAGTCAACCAATTTAGCTTTATTGTATATCTTTCCACATCAACTGAAAAATAAAAAAATTCCTTGATTCGCCTAATATGACAGTCATTATTTATAAATTTCCTCCACACAATACCAGAATACTGAAATGGATGGATAACAAGATCAGTAAAATTTCTGCAGGCCATAATTAGGTCTAGGAGTTGAACTGGTCCAAATGAATGGACTTTCTCCACGCTATAAATAATTTTTTATTTTATCAAAATTTAAAATGTTACCATGATTGAACAAACTGTTAAGCATCTTCCTCCCAATGACATGGATGTGCGTCCATTCACATTAAAGGAAAATGGAAGCTTAATAGACAACTGAATAGAGGGCCACAAAGGAAGCAAAGTTCTCAGTGCAAACCATGAATTCCCTAACTCAACCAGATGGAAGAGAGAGGGTCATATAAGAATGAACAAAAAAAGAATACCCAACGTCACAAGCCTAACACAACCTGGTGGAAGAGAGAGGGTCGTAAGAATGAACAAACAGTGAATGCCCATCATCACAAGCCTAACCCAACCTGATGGAAGAGAAAGGGTCTTAAGAATGAACAAACAGTGAATGCCCATCGTCACAAGCCTAACCCAACCTGATGGAAGAGAGAGGGTCGTAAGAATGAACAAACAGTGAATGCCCATCATCACAAGCCTAACCCAACCGGATGGAAGAGAGAGGGTCGTAAGAATGAACAAACAGTGAATGCCCATCGTCACAAGCCTAACCCAACCTGATGGAAGAGAAAGGGTCATAAGAATGAACAAACAGTGAATGCCCATCGTCACAAGCCTAACCCAACCTGATGGAAGAGAGAGGGTCGTAAGAATGAACAAACAGTGAATGCCCATCATCACAAGCCTAACCCAATTTGATGGAAGAAAGAGGGTCGTAAGAATGAACAAACATTGAATCCCCATTGTCACAAGAATAACTCAATCCAATGGAAGAGAGAGGGTCGTAAGAATGAACAGACAGTGAATGCTCATCATCACAATCCTAACTTAGCTTTGTTTTGTACAGAGACAGAGTATGACTAAAGATTGTTGAAGAGGAGAAGTAAACAATCTGCCAAGTAAAAAGGAATTAGTGCTGTTGAATTGGTAACAATAACAATTAATTTTTACTGTCAATGTATGTGTTGATTGATCAGCAGTTATTGCTGACACATACATTGTATGAATAATAGTATTAATGTCTTAATTAAGTACTCAATCCAATACAAAACAGCTGAGCATCAGATGCATTCTGACAAATAAAACCACAGTCTGGCCAGAACCAACAAAATTTGCTTAGTCAGAGAAAAGAAAAACTATATTTTAATCCATTTGCATCCAAGCCGTCTTTTGCCATCCTCACATGCAAGTGGGTTCTTATCATTTGACAATGTCCATTTTTACAAACTGAAGTCGTTAATTGGGGTTTCCTTATTTTTGGCTGAGAATTTTAGCTTATGGAAAGCAAGCTAACACAGCTCTTATTATTTTTCAGTGCATGTTTGTTATCTGCCTTCTGGCTACATATACAAAGGCTGGTTTCTATGTTAACACAAAAACAGAGGCTTTGCTGGAGTTGTCGAGAGAAACAAACCGTCTTTTTGGCGAAATAACTTGCTTTAAAATAAGTACGAATTTTTCTTGATTCTTACCTTGTGTGTGAGGAAACACCTACTCGATCCGGTGGCTGCCTACACGGCCTAACTGTAAACAAAAATACTGCTGTCAGTTTTTTAAAATTTGTTGGCTCAGTTCGCTTCAACTGTAAAAGGTCATCACGCACTAGACTAACACGGATAACCGAAAAAAAGCATTAACACAACTATAATAAGAAGTCTTACCTCCGAAAACGCTGAACACACACTGCACAACTGACTACAGGGCGCCGAAACTTAAATCTGTGAATGAAAATACAAATTACTGCTGTTAGATTCACTCGATTCGTCTCAATTCAGTGTAGAAGAACATCACCAGAACTTCAGCATACAGATAACATAACAATGGGAATTAATCTTACATGTAAATGAGGAAAGTTCTTCGATCTGTACATGTGCAGACACTGTGCGCTTTGAAATCCCTCGCAAAAATAACCGACACAAAACCGGCAGGACTTTTCCGCGGGTGGCGGGTGACGGGTGGCGGGTAGCGGGTGGCGGGTAACGGGTGACGGGTGACGGGTGAAGGGTAGCGGGTGGCGGGGTAGCCGGTTAAAAATATATATGAAATGAAATATTATAACTCGTTATAGTGTAATTGAAGATATAACTGTATGTTGCAATTTTAAAATAATTTCACCGTTTATGTACTTGTCTTATCTACTTACGCGGACTATTTTCAATTTCTCAAATATGGCAAAAAAAGGAGAAATCATGCCTGTGAAAACAGTCATCTCTCCTAGCTCCGCACCGCAAGTGACGTTTCGCCAGGCTACACGCGGTGTGTCAAATGAAAATGGGTTATGTCAAGCAAGACACATGGCACGTGTCGAAGCGAATTTTTTGGTACATGCATCTCTTACCATGCCTTGCTAAGTAAGCGGACGCGTGGTTAGAAAGACGTCCGACTTCTTAGTTAGGTATAAGCTTCTGCAATAACGGGTGTGAAAGATAAATAACTACGAGAAAGAGACTACATTTACTGCCATATAAAACAACGTGGCAGGTCTATTATGATTATGGGCAGGGGGGGGTGCGGGGTGGGGGTATGGATATTTTCTGGAGCTACACAATTCAGAAAAAGTGTAATTTCCCTGAAAAAAATATTGTTCGATGCTTATTATTAATAATGATTGTTGACAAGTTTGCCACACATACTTGTATATCACAGCACACCTTATGTCTAATAATAACCACACAATTCACTACTGATTGAAGAAATCGTGATGTACAGCGTCGTTTCTTTGTTAATAGTTTTAATTTCTATAAAAGGCAGAAAAGATCTTGTTTGTCTAGTTTGCTTTTTCTTCCACATCAAGACCAAAGATGATTGCACTTCCCCAACTGTTTAGTCGTGTTTATAACAGGCTGCAAGAGACTCGGCCTTTGGTGTCGTAGCTCAGTTTTTACCCTAGTATGCGGCATGATTGCCATCCTAATAAGTATTTTTAAGTAGTATTTAAAAAATGCAGATCCTTTTTGTATATATATACAACGAGATCAGTTCGCGTCCGAGACGCCACACGCGGCGAAAACGGTCCATGCTGTGTCAAAAGCGTCCTTCTCTGGTACGCATTAACATTGACAGCTTTGTTGTTTTAGTCTCAGGAAAATTTCCTTGTTTTCTCGAAATAGACATTTTGTTCATTTTAAACTACAAGTCGGGAACCAAATTGGCAAAGATTTATTCCACATGCAATGTTAATCCCAACTTATAACAAAAGAACAAACGCACTTGTCAAAAATCTGAGACACTGTTCAAACATGTCGAGAAGAGAATGCGATCTTAGTTATCTGGTCTCAGGATAAATATTACTTTAATTTTTATGAGTTCCTCAAGCTATCTCGTGCAAGCGATATCGTGTAGAAGAATATTGCTAAAATATCGCTTTTTGTAATGTTTATTATCTTTTTTCTTTTTTTGGTTTCCACTTTTTATTTTTATTTTTTTTATTTTTGACGGCCTGACAATTTGTAACCCGTCACCCACCACCCGCTACCTGTCACCCGCTACCCGTCACCTGCTACCCGCCACCCGTCACCCGTCACCCGTCACCCGCCACCCGCCACCCGCGGAAAAGTCCTGCCGACACAAAACCGGTTTTTCCGCAAACGCGATCTCTCTGGCCAGCCGTCAAATGTTTGTCACTACTCTCGGGGGGAGGGAAGGGATACTTTTTTTTCACTCGTCCTCGGTCTTCAGAGTCAGTAGGGAGTTTAAAGGAGCTGTGTCACGAAATTCAGCCAAATTAGGAAATTACAAAACGCCCGTTAAATTAAGAGAAACATAAAAATAACTGCTTAAAACTTTAAAGGACGGTTAAAATAACATAACAGAAACAACAGATGACACGGATGGGCAAAACTGAAGAAGATTGAAACGGATAGAAATTAGGGTTTTTGAAAACTGTTCAGCCTAACAGTATTTTAAAGTTGATCCCTGCTGCTTGCAACTTCAAAAATAATGTTCAGGAGACATATTTGTTTGTCTCGGATCTCTGATTTTGTCATATACCTGTAATTTCTTTGCTTTCTTTAATCTCCATAGCAATTGAGGGCGAGTAATTGGCAAATTAAACAAAATGAACTGGACTGCCGTGACACAGCCCCTTTAAGATACGGAGACTACGGACTACGAACTACGGCTGGACGAGCGTTGTCCTTCGTTCGTAGCACTGGGTTGAGTCGTGCAAATATAGAACGTTAAGATTGCACTACAGACAGTAGACTACGAGAGAAGAGGCCGGGAGGGAAACAACACGCAAAGATTTTCTTGTTTTCATCACAGTTCACAAAAATGCAAGGCAGTTTTGCATGTGATCTTATCTTTAGAACAATGAACAAATTCTTCCATACTGGAAGAAAGCAATTACGTCGGGTGAAATTGGTAAACAAAGTTTTGGTTACACAGGTTTTATTTTTTTTGCCCATGAATTCTTATGTCAAATATTAAAGAAATAGACAGAAATAGTAATAGCTCATTTATTAGATTTAGAAGATGGACTTCTCCGACTACTGATCTGATTTAGTTTGAAGTATTGAAATGCCGAGTTTCGATTGTCTTGACTCGATGATGTTTACATCATTTTCATTCAGCAAATGCGATACAAAAACTCGCATAAACAAAGGTTACACAAGTAGAAAGACACGATAATCAGTTCGAACAAACATTGAAACTTTTCAAGTACAAAGAGAAAGTAAATTACCTGCCTGATTTCTCTTCTCCTCAGCCGTCAATCGGAATTCTGCGTATAAACAGCTAAGCTTATTCAAATATGAGCTTAGCTAGATAAAAATGAGGTCACAACAGTCGATTTAAAGCGTAAATCGGAGCAGAAATTAGACACAACTTACATATTTCGCTTCCCTCTCACTTAAAGGAGGTGAATTGAAAACTTTTTTAACGAAAAGACGAGATTCTTGAATTACCGAGACGGAAAATACGAGCAAAATGTTCTCCGTAGTCCCGACTACGCGAAACAGCTCAACAACTCACCGTAGCCGCAGGACTACGCGGGAAAAACGAACAGTCACGTGGTTTTGATCATGCGCAGTAGGATGTTTAACCGTAGTCGTAGTCCGTAGTCGCCGTATCTTAAACTCCCTAGTCTCAGCCAGCTCGACTTGAAGTGCTAGAAAAGTCAGTAATTCCCAGCCAAAGCCTCTAACAATAAGAAATTTCCCAGCCAGCTCATTGGAACACCTAATATTTTGCCAGCCAGCAAGATTCCTATGGGGAACAGATAAAGTGAGGAACAGATTTGTTGGGTGCCCCTGGATTCAATGCCTTGATAAATAGAATATAGTGTTAACTAACAAGACCTGCCAACTAACAAGACCTTTGCAGCTGTTCTCCCGTATTTAACCTACTGTCATCTTATATGGCATTTTTGCCGTGCTAGTGATTCTAGACGACTAGAGCGTATCCAGGAAAGAGCACTTAGGGCTATATAATTATTGTGATAAACATTCGTCCTATGGTCAATTACTATCTATAGCTGGGCTATCTACTCTACACAACCGGCGACTACAGGACATAGCTATTCTCATGTATAAAGTTAAAAACAACATGTGCCCAACATACATTAGCACTCTCTTTGAACAGCCTGCAATTAAGTATGAACTGCGCAATCATGACTTCACTATACCCAGATTCAACACAGTCTCCTTTGGAAAGCACTCGCTCAGGTATATGGGCCCAATGGAGTTTATGGAGTTCTGTTCCTAGTAACGTGAAAAAAGCTTTCACGTTGTCCTCCTTCGAATATAGCATCAGAAAAGTGGATCTTAGCATGCTATTAGATGACAATAACTGCTCTAACTGCTCTCTTTGCACTTCTTAATCTTTTATTTCTTATTTTTTTTAGAAGATAATGGATACATTTGTATATACTGTATATAGTTCTCTCGAATTTCTCACTTGCTTATACTGTACATAGTTTTTTCTTAATTTTAATTAACTTATTAATTAATTTATTCTTTTAAATTCATTTTAGTGTCCCCACTTAGTGGTTATACACCGCTATTACAGTTTTGACACTTTAATAAAGGTATCATCATCATCATCATCATCATCACCTGTCAACTATTTTTGGAATCTATTCGCTCTTTAAAAAGGTAGCAAATATCGTGACATAGTCCCTTGAAGTTTATTTTGGTTGGAGGATTGCATTACAACTAAACTGCAATTACTTTAACATACTGTAGTTACTGACAGAGTCGAGGTCCGTGCTGCACGGGAAAAAAAGGAGGATCCATAACGTACAGTACGGACCGAGAAAAACCAGATTAGTAAGATATTTATTATATCTCTGAGGTTAATGGGGCGCGCGGGAAGGAAACTTAAAAATTCAGCGGGCTGTATAGTAGAATAAGGACCGCAAAATTGACCAATCACAGCGCGCGTACTAACTAAGCGATATAATAATAGTCAATAGTAACGTGGGTTGTTTTTGTTGCAGCGGCCATATGTACCCCTCCATGTCTTCTGTTTTCAAACACTACGGATATCTTCGCCGTTGACTACAAAACGTCTGCAGTACATTCTGTGGTCACTGGATTAACCAGGGCTGTGGCACTCGATGTTCATTTTAGCATGGGATATATTTTTTGGAGTGATGTATCTGAGCAGAACATCAAACGTTCTGGTATTGACGGTTCCGGTATCACCACAATTATCACCAATATTGGTGTTTGTGATGGATTGGCAGTTCAATGGACGACATCAGAATTGTACTGGACAGACACTACACACGATACGATATCCAAATCTGACCTATCAGGCAATAACCAGCAAACTGTACTATCCCTGGGACTTGATGAACCTAGAGATATCGCTTTGGATCCTGATAGGGGGTGAGTGGCCACAAAGTTTTTCCGAAAATAAGCCCGTCCATGTATAACCCCCTCCAAATATAAGGCCCACCAAATCCTCCGTTAAATCGCCCCTCCAAATATAAGCCCCACCCCCCCCCCCCGGGGAGGGGGGGCTTGTCCTTGGAATTTGCCCTCAAATACAGAGTAAAACAAAGCAAAAATGGTAAATTTCCTTCCTACTATAAGCTAACCCAATCGATTTTGAAACGCAAATGCCCCTCCGTACATACGCCCCTCCGAATATACTAAAATAATTATTCACCTCAGGCTCAGTTAATATTGTTGAATAATCCCCTCGACTTCGTCTCGGGGATTATTCAACAATATTAACTGAGCCTTCGGCGAATAATTGTTAAATATGAAAGATATAAGCCCCGCGGCTTATTCTCGGAATTTTATGGTATTCTATTTATTTTCCTGCGTGTGACCTCTGTTTATCTCCACTCAAAATTATAAATACTTTAAATTTACGAGTTTTAGTTTAACAAGAATTGCAAACTTCTTATGACTTTTTTAGAACTGATGGATAATTATGACAACTTTTAGAGACCTTTTTTCCTGTCTAAGTTTAATTTATAACAAGTAGTTTCACGTAACACTTTATTCTAGAAGCCGACTACTTTTTTACTAATTACTGTAACAGGCTGATGATTTGGACAGACTGGGGTTCCAGCCCCAAAATCGAAAAAGCATCCTTAACAGGGAATCAGAGGGTTGCCATAGTAACGTCAGACATCCATTGGCCGAACGGGATCGAGCTTGACAGATGGAATAATCGTATTTATTGGGTAGATGGAGCCGTGGATCAATTAGAATCTGTCGATTACGATGGCAATGACAGAAAACTACTTTCGACTGTAACAAATTTTCATGGTTTTGGAGTAGCCATTATTCCTCCTTTTCTCTTTTTCACTGACTGGGCTTCAAACGGTCAGATTCACCAAGTTGACGCGAAGACCGGGTATTTTGTTGTCAGCGGTGTCCGCTTCACTGGAAGGCCCATGGGCATTGTGGCATACGACAGTTCCAGGCAACCTCCAGGTATGCCGTGATAGTAGTATTGGGCGCACTGGTACTCCAATTTTTTTGACGAGGAATTTCATTACTTGGCGGAGTAAAACGTTTACGTCGATGATTTCTTAGCCTTTTACCTATGTCTCATGAATAAAAAGCAGTGGAATCTCATTAAGATAACTTTACGTTGACGTGCTTTTTTCAGGTGGTTTAACCGGTTCGACGGGTTGTTTAGTTACTTTTAGGTCAATGAATGTATGATGATGATGAATTTTGTTTTTCACGTTTTTGTTTTAAAGTTTCCAGTTCTTGTGCAACAAACAACGGCGGCTGCAGCCATTTTTGCGTGGTGAAGACTTCTGGCGGCCACGAGTGTGTCTGTCCAGTTGGTTTGTCATTGAAGGCAGATGGAAAAACATGCAACAAGAGTAAGACAGCTGCTTTGACTACAGAGGAAATACATATCTGTATTCTCTCCTTTCTATACTCCTCCTAAATACTTGAGCAACACCCCTCAGTCTCTTTAAGGTAGATATTTTCCCCAGAGAGAAAAAAGTAGATTTAAGATACAGTCGACGGAACCTTTATGTGCAGCCAGCCCTCCGAAGCGATCACCTCCATGATCAGCGACCAGCTATCCTAACCTTCAAAACGTTTCTCAGCCAGAGCCCTCTAATCAGTGGCTCGATAACCTTTAATTACAAAATAGTGTCAGGAAACCCCTATAGAAACATTGGGATAAACAATTCACTTACGACTTGCCCAATATGACCTTGCCCAAATCTATTACCTTTTTCTGGCTTAAGGTGGCTGAACTTAGTTTTGCGGGTGGTCAGCGGTAACTCGCGTGACGGCGTGTGTTTTAATTAGACAAACAAACATGGCGGCAAAAAAGCAATAGTACACAGAAGACGATTCCTCAAAATCTACTCATTAAAAATTTGTGATATTTGGCAGAATTTTTACTTTTATCGTATTTTAAATAATGAGAACTTTAAAATGGAAGTTGAACAGACGAATTTTGTGACATATTTAATAATTACAGTACAATTATATTATTGATTATCTAAAAACTTGTCTGTTAAAATTTGGTCAAATAAGTTTCAAGTGGCAATGATTAATTATAGTAAGCTGCGTGCAAGTTTATAGGAAAATCTAATGAGCGAATTTTATGTAAACGGGGCCAAAGTGAAATTTTAAGGTTGAATTAAGTCGTTCATATTGCCATGGAAACTACGAAAACGTCACATTTTACCTGTCAATCAAAATCTTTCATCAGTGTATTTTTCACTTGCCAAGTTAACATTTCTCTTGTCATGATTTGGCAAATAACATATACTTACAAACTGCCAAAACTGTGTTCAGCTACCTTAAATAGTCATGTTTTACTGTACAAATAAGTCATTTTAAGTATGTTACCCTTTGCAGAAATGGACAAGTTCCTCGTTTTTATGGACGCTGATGCCAAGTCTACTGATATCATTTCGTTGGATGTGAACTATTTTGTTGCCCGACGTTTGTTCTTCCATCACGGAAATCAACGCCCGATTGCTGTGGACTACGACCCTGTTGAGGACCGCGTATACTGGACTGATGTTGCACAAGGTCTAATTATCAGTGCTATCTCTAATGCGACTTCACTGAGGATCCCTTTTCGCTGCAATGTAAAGGTACCAGATGGCCTGGCCATTGACCACGTGGGGCAAAATATTTACTGGACAGACACGGGAACAAATCGTATTGAAGTTGCTCGGCTGGATGGTACAAGCAGAAAATTGTTGATCAAAGATGGACTTGATGAACCCAGGGCAATTGTACTTGATGAAAGAAATGGGTGAGTTATAAATCGAAAGGGAGTATCTCGATATAGCCGGTCTTCCTCGCAGCCGTTTTTGTCTCGTCAGACAACGCTTTTCAATACAAATCTTAAAAGGGCTATGACACGAGGGGAGGAGCGTTGCGTGGCAAGACAAAAAAGGCTTCCTTTAAGTTAAAGCTAAATCATCTTGGGTGCACGAGATGTCGAAGTTAGCGTTATCAAAAAAATAAAGTTTAACTTGGTAGTTCTTTTTTTTTTCTTTAGAACTAAAATTAAATATTGCTATTTTTTTTTTTCTGATAAAGAACGATGTATTGGTCCGACTGGGGATCCAATCCAATGATTGAAAAAGCAGCCATGGACGGCTCATCAAGACGAACCATTGTAACAGGAAACCTTGGTTGGCCGAATGGATTAACTATTGATCAAACAATAAGCCTTCTGTACTGGGCGGATGCTAAACTGGACAAAATCGAGGTTTCTGACCTTAACGGTGATAACAGAAGAGTTATTATGCTATCTGCAGCAGATATTCATCCGTTTGGTTTGACGGTGTATAAGCGCATTTTGTACTGGACTGACTGGAACAATAAAAGCATTTCGCGGTACGATTTAAACAATGGGAACACGGAATTGATTATTCAAGGTCTCCAAAAGCCAATGGACATTCACCTGTATGATTCATCTCGGGTGTTTTCAGGTAAATCATTCTTCTTAATAATACCCGTCACAAGCAACTATTTTAATGCAACGGCACCTCATACTATTTTAAACGGTGTTTACAATTTTTTTCAATTAAATATGGTGGTACTTAATAAAAAGATAAATTCGAACTTTTTTTATATCTAGTCTGAATTCTGGTGGCACCTAATTAACTCTAACTTTATCAGGGTCTCATCCGTGTACAATCAACAATGGAAACTGCAGTGACTTGTGTTTGCTTACGCCGCAAGGAGGTCACCAGTGCGCATGTCCAACTGGAGTAGTCCTCAAACCTGATGGGAAAAACTGCAATTATGGTAAGAGCATATGATTGGTTGTGGTAGTGCGCTTGTAGCACATGTTTCCTTAACTGCTTTTTGTTCTGCAAAATGTAGGAAAGAAATAGTCATGGATATGCTGAGAATTTCAGGATACTAATTCTCCTGTGATTGTCCGACCTGCACTTCTTTTTTTCAGATTTATTTAAGAACCTAAGCTCCGACAAGCTCATGCTTTTTGCTGAAGCAAATAGCGGGGAAATTTACAAAGTTCCTCTGGCTGTACCAGACACTCCTTGCTTTCCTCTAGGGATCAAAACCAACATATCCAGACCAGTTGCAGTTGATTATGATCCGATTGAAGGCAAGGTCTACTGGACTGACGTGACTTTGAAGCAGATTGTTAGATCTTATCCCAACGGGTCCGATCTTGAAGTAATAGCGGAGCGTAATGTGGAAAGTCCTGAAGGAATAGCAGTTGATTGGATTGGGAGGAACGTTTATTGGACTGATTATCAAACTAGTAAGATTGAAGTGTCACGATTGGACGGATCATACAGATTTAGCCTCATTACATCTAGTTTGGACAATCCTAGAGCTCTGATACTTGACATCGATGCTAGGTAACAAAGATAATTAATGAGGAATACAACTTAAAAGATGTATTTGAGTCAATGGAAACATGTTAAAAAGATGTTCCGGTTTTGAGAGGAAGCACTTGTAACTTATACGGAATACTGTCTATTTTGTCCCCTTGGCTTGAAAAATCACTAAAAAAAAGTGGGCTTTGCTATATTTATCCGAAAATCCATTTGACTTGAGCCGCTACAGGCCTCATAAAATAGCAAAGGCTGTGCTTGCAAGTGAAAGTCATGATTTTAACAAAATTATAACAAATTTTCACAGCATGCAGTGCCTATTCAGTTTAATATTGACGGATCGTACAGAACAAGCCTTATAAAAGAAATAGACGTTGACAAACCTAGGGCTGTGATATTAGACATCGATGACAAGTAATCTAGTTAATTTTGATCAAAGTGGCTGATGAATATATTGTTCTAGGAACCCTACAATACTCTCAAATTTAAAAAGCCGTATGGCCGCAGAAATAAATATAAGAGAAAAACTTGTTTCTCAATGTCGTTTTAAGACATGTTCGCTTTATTCTTTATCTCCTTTTTGATCTCTCTTTTCTGTCTTGATTTCTATTATAGAAAGATGTACTGGAGCGATTGGGGAGCCTCACCAAAGATCGAACAAGCGAACATGGATGGCACGGCTAGGACCGTTCTGGTTAGTTCCGGTTTGTCATGGGTGAATTCGCTCGCTTTGGATTTCAAAAATAGGCTGCTGTACTGGTGTGATGCACAACTCGACAAGATCGAAAGAGTGGACCTTCAAGGAAATAACCGCGTGCTGATACTGAATTTGTCATCCAATAACGATAGTTATCACCCTTTCGGACTCGCCTTATACGAGGATGCGCTTTTCTGGACAGACTGGATAACACAAAGTGTTCATAGATATAATATGACGTCTTCCCTCTCCGATGTCTTGGTCCATGGAATGGGAGCACCTATGGAAATCCACATCTATGACTATAGCATCATAACTACGGGTGGGTGTTCCTTAGAAATTTTGCTGTTTTGAATTCATTTTTTTTTTTTTAATTTATAAATTTTTATTTGAAACTTTCATTTAACAGAGTACACTTAATATAAAAAGGAAAAAACAAATAAACAAATAAACAATTTTCATCAATTCGGCGACAAATGCCATTTCTAAAAATTCAGTTAACTCGATGAAGTTAGTACTTGTTTGATAAAGCTAGCTGCTCTACCGTAATGAAAAACCTGTCAATGTAAAAGACAAAAACTCGCTTCAAAGATTTCGCGATATTCATAGCTACATATTTTTTATTTCCCAGGGAAGAATTTTCCAAAAAAAAAATCGTTGACAGTTTCCTTTCCCAAAAAGTTGACATTTTTTCGCTATTGTCCAAGTTTGACCAAACCTTCTCTTCACTGTAAAAAATTCAAGCCGGCTCAATGGTCACTATTTTTTTTTACCCTGAATACACGCCCGTCTACATGTTGCCCACACAGGAACTACCAGCTGTTCTCATTTAAATGGAGGATGCAGCCACATTTGCCTGCCAAGCCCGAACGGTCATCAGTGTTTCTGCCCGGAAGGAGTGCATTTGATACCTGGTGACTCGTCGACCTGTCAAGGAGGTAGGAGTTATGATCTCGAAAAAGACTTGTGTTTTTTAGGTTTTCTTATTTATCTAATTCTTGTTTTTTTGCGCAATCCCCCAGCAGCTCTTTACTGTTTTAAAACACTGTGATAGACTTGATTAACATGCAGTTTGTCGTGAGTGCAGGGGTTATGTTCATTTAATTCTACCACGGAGGAATTATCCTGAAAGTGTTGTTATTTCTAATCTCGGTTTTCTAGTTTTATGTGAGTGCTTTTACAGTAATAATAAGATGACTTTAAGCTTTTTAGTTGCTGACAATTCTGTAACATTGGGAGTTGACAATCGAGGAAAAAAACGACAACAAAATATTGTTCTGTCCGCTACATTCGCCCTCTGACTAAATTCGGGGAAAGTGAAACAGTCCTTCCCGGCAAAAAGGGTCCTGGGACCCTGGTACTGAAAATGGCTGTCTAGATAGGCTATTTCCGAGTTCCAAAGACTCTCACTTCTAAAACGAGGCTAAGTGCAAAACCTTTCTTGTAAAAATGAGTTTCATTTGTATGAGAATAAAAACTCAGTTTCATATCAATGGCTTCGCACTTAGCCTCGCTTTGAAACAGAGGCTTGACGCAACTCGGAATATGGCCTATTGCTTCCACTCTTATCAGTTATTTACTCTGCTTTTCCTTGAAAGCATGCTTGAATATTAGTTGTCTTTACACTAGGCTGTTAAGTGTGTGAAGCCCTAAGTAAAATCTCAAGTAACTTTACTTTACATCTTATTAAAGTCGGAGAGTTGAAACGATTCAAGAAAGTTTGAAGCGACTTGAAGACCATCCTTAAAACCGACTTAGCTGACTTGCGGTTACTTGCGGTTTCTTGAGCTTTGAGAAAGGCGAAACATGTCAATCAATCTTAATTATGTCGCGAGGGAGAATAGCCTTAAGTTAACCTGAAGTAAAAAAAGATCGGTTGTGTGTGAAGCTTTATTTTACTTTAAGTAATTAAAACTTACTTGTCTTGAAATATTTCTTAGTTTATATATTTAGGCTCTAGCGTAAAGACTATCATTAGTAGTCTGCATGGATATTACCAGGAAGGCAGTGTTTCAACCTCTGACGCGTTGAGAAACACACCCAGTACTCAGAAAAGAGGGCCTAGATCACAGGTGACGAAAGTAGAAGGCTGTTTGGAGTTGGAATTTAATCAAGCGTTTTCCTTTCTTCATTAAATAGTGAACCGCTGTCCCCAACTGTTTGCACCTGTACATGGTAGTTTGCTGCCTTGTTCCAATTTACCGGGGCAATCCTGTGTATTCTCATGTGATCAGGGATACTTGCTGAGCGGTGCAAGCACCAGGATTTGCCAAGGCGATGGTAGTTGGACTGGAGTACAAACGCACTGCACTGGTAAGTCGAGATAACATAATTTACAGGGTAGAAGGTAAGGAATCCCCGCAACTTAGTGCGTCCTCTTACAGAGCCATGCAAGAAGCAGTAAAATTGAAACAAGCGGTTGCTAAAAGCTTAAAACGTTGCAATACACCCAGGGAACAACATCTATGTTAGTTGTGTAACAATGATCGAAGTGGAAAAATGATATAAAAGCGTCTTTACAGAGATTTCTGAATTCTGCAAAATGGGTAGAAAAAATATGTGTTAACCTTATAGATAGCCCGCATAGCTGGCAGTGGTTTCCATTTCCTCTTAGGCAAAAGAGAGAAGTGCTGGAAAGGCCCAAGGGGATGGGGTAAACTGAAACAATAAAAAAATTAGAAAAGACGGGGCGGTGGGCACATAATCTTTGCACTGCTTTTTACGCCAAGCTATCGAGTGTCTCCCGCGTTTCTCTAGCTTGGTTAAGAGGAAACAGAAATGACTGCTTCGCAGGCCGGAGGGGATACTGCCATATATGGGCTATATGGGTATGTGTCGCTGTGAAGGGTTTTCAAGCAGTTTAATATGGGATAGGGTACATAAACCAGAAAGTTTGGGTCTAGAATAGGGCATCATTTTTCTAGGAAACTGTTCAATTGGTTGAAGATTTTAGTCTCAAAAATATAAAAAAAATCAAATCGGTTTTGTTTTGGCTAGACTGTACTAGTGACCTCAGTAGTTCCTGGAAAACAGATACTCTAGATATAGGGGTAAGGGTTCCAGGGTCCCCCAAAATTCCTAAAGTCCCCCCCGGGCTCACAGGCTACTTACCTGATGCATGGATAAATGTGCAATACGTATTTCCTTGTTCAGTTGTCACGTGTCCCTCCCTACCAACACCTTCCAATGGTACCCGTCAGGGATGCTCAGGCGCATCAACAGAAATCTATAACACTGTCTGCCAGTTTTCCTGTCATCCCGGTTTTGTCAGCTTGGGTTCCTCATCTAGAACATGCCTTCAGAACGGAAGTTGGAGTGGCCAAGATTTTGTTTGCCAAGGTAAGAATATTATTAGCGTATTCGGCATAAGCTTTCCTTAAATTAATCACGCTGGAAATTTGGCCGTCGTTAATGGACGTTCATTGTTTTAACAAAGATTTTAGTATGCAAGCAACCAAAGGAGCCTGCATGCAGTCCTGATCTACAGATAGCTATCACGCATTTACGACACGTATGTAGCCAACATTCGCTTGGGCTTCTAAACACCCACTAACCCGCCCTCCCAGCCTAACCTTTGGTTAACTCATCAGACTAGTTTAAATTGTTCTCTTTGTGGCCAAACAATTAGATACACGGTAGAAACGTTCAAGACAAATTGGTATGATATGTGAACGACATTATAACGACATTTTACGTCATCCTTTCCAGCATTGAACATGATTTCGCTATTGGAGAAAACTTTGAAATACTAGTTTGGTAAAATGGATAAATGAAAATAATTGAGGTATAATAGCAGCGTCGTATTGCGAAAAAATGTTTAAGTATGGTTTGGGTGGAGAAGATTGGCATTGATTTAAAAAAGAGGATTCCTTCGGGCTTTCAATTGGGTATTATTTCGCAGTGCAAAAGATGAGATTAAGGTTTAAGTATTACAAGTAAGAAACTAAAAAGTGTTTTCCTTGCATGTCAGCTATCATTTGTCCACCTCTGGCGACCCCACCCAAAGCGCTTCTACTGACCCCTTCCTGTGGGAGTACTTATGGATCAAGTTGCCGATATTCCTGCCAAAGTGGTTATACCAGCTTCACCGGAAAAGTCACAAGAACTTGTTTGCTGAACGGTCAATGGAGTGGAAATGACATAAACTGCACAGGTTATTTATAACAGAATGTAATGCTAGGCAATTTTGCATGGATCAAAGTTCTTAGCTCAACAAAGGCCAGTCAAACTAAAGCAACCGCTAAACTAGTTTGCTTGGAAGGGCAATTTAAAAACCATCCTATTCCAGGAATGATTTCCGATTTCCCACCATGAAAGAACAGTACAATTTTCAAGTTTTCTAATTCATAGTATGATCTCATTCTTTTGTTAGCTTGTTTGATCATTTGTATGTTGTCATGGCCTGCTCTAATAGTATTTATTTTAATTTAGGCAATTTGTTTTCTTCTTTCTTAAGACACTCAACCCCCAGACTTTGGTGCCACATGCCCGGCAAAACCATTGACAGCGTATGCCGAGAGAGAAATGTTATCTGCCTTGGTGAACTGGACCCAGCCGGTTGGCACTGACAACTCAGGAGTTTCAACAACAGTGACGTCAAATTACCAGTCGCCAACAAGGTTCAGTCAAGGAACTCACGTGATCACATACACAGCTGTGGACCAATCAGGAAACAAAGCCACCTGCACGTTTTTAGTCATCATTTTAGGTAGCAAAGACTGTATCCAATAATATTAATTATCTCCGTTTAATTGTACTTTGCCCGACAGCACAGAGGCCACTGCACTTTCTGAGGTTTAATCCTCGGGTATTTCAGACCGCTCGAAGTTAAAACTTTGGATTTACGTGCTATATCTGTGATTGAATTAACTGAGGGGCTCTTATCTTTGAATAACCGGCTTAGTTAACGTTTTGTTTGACTTCCATTTTGTCTTATTTTAAGTCTTAATCATATCTATAACAAAATTCTCAAATGTGATTGGCTGTCAACTGTCCTGATTTCAGCCTTAATAGGACAGTACGCGTCATGCCTAAGTAATTGAATAGTACGCGCCATCACGCGCGCGCTTAAATAACTTTTTTTTCACTGCTAGCAAAAACATCTCGGAATTTCTTGTGTTTTGATTTAAAAAAAAAGAACCAAATATATCACAAATTTTGTTAAAGTTATGATTAATTGGTAACAGAACTTCGTGTCGTCCAATTCGGTCTGTAATCATACTCGTGATTAAACAAATCGGACTCCCGCTACGCGGTCGTCCGATTTTGTTAATCACTTGTATGATTACAGACCGAATTGGACTCCACTCATTCCTGTTACCATTACTTATCAACAGCAATAATTAATAGTGATATCCCTTTTGTATCTTTTATTGGTCAGTGATCAACTGCACATCTCTACGTGTTAGTCCTGGAGGTCCTTTACAAATGGACAGTTGTGGTGATCATTATGGTTCAAAGTGTAACTTCTCCTGTTCCGTTGGATACCGTTTGAATGGGTCTTCAACGGTGACATGCAATGCCCCTGGTAACAGCCCTCCGGGAGTCTGGGACAGTCCTATTCCTGTATGCCAGGGTACGTTTTCACGGTACAGTATTGATGTCCCGGGGGGGGGGGGGGTACTCCCGCGAATTTTGGATAGGGGTGTGCAGCGAAGGTTCGTGAACCCTAACCCTATTTAAGGACTAAGAAAGCGAAAACTGATACCCTATATATTAATAGCATGAAAAAGAAAACTTTATTTCTTCTCTGTAACATTGGATGTATAGCATCAAGCATAAAATACTAGAATAAGCCTAGTTTGAAAAAAATGTTCGTTTAGGCGGGCGTTTTTACACTCCAGTATTAGATAATACAATTAAGACAATTAAGCTACCCTGTCTAGGGACCACACCAGGGACACACAAACAAAAGGGTCAAAAAAGATACCCTATTTAAGGACGAGAACCTCAAAAACCATACCCTATTCCGCGGCACGTACCTATATAGCCCATATATGAAAGTACCCACCCCCCCGGATTGATGTCGTGCTTTTCATCTCTATTTCAATATGGAAGCAATACACGCTTGACAACCATTTAAACCGTTCTCACGGTAGGGTGCTGATGTCACGCTTTTCATCTCTATTTGAATATGGAAGCTATAGAAGTTCCACATTACCCTGCGAGTAGAGATTACTTTCCGGCTTTGAAGGCCTTCAGCATGTACGAAGTTCTTCGACTGATAAGCCACGCGAGCGACTTTGTAAAACTCGCAGGGTAGCTCGACACCCACTTAAACTTGTTTTACGTCACCTTTTCCGGTACCCTATTCGGTTTACTTTATAAACTAGTGTCCTGTATAATGCTTTTTTCAAGTGCTTAAAATTTATTTTTTCATTAGAAATTACCTGCCAGTCTCATCCTGATCTAATCAATGGAGTAAAACGTGGCTGTCTCAACCCAGTTTCCGCACGCTATAGCGCGATTTGTAGCTTCTCTTGTAATGTTGGGTACAATTTGACCGGCTCGTCAAGAAGACAGTGCCAGGAAAATGGAACATGGAGTGGGGTGGCTCCAACTTGTCAAGGTAAGTATTATGACACCACTCATAGAGAAGGTATTACTTAAGATGAGTAAATTGGCCGCGCTAAATTAACTAAATTAAATCCTGTAGGGGATAGGATTTGTCAAGAAATATTTTTCATTTATGTATTCCTCAGATTGTGGGGGTGGGCGTTCTACCCCTAGTGGAATTGACATAAATGCTTTCTTCTGGGTAGGGTGCCTTAAATTCGCAGGTTATTCAGTTAACACGTTTATATCGATTCAGGTATGAAACTTTCCCAGTGATGGCTGTTGTCATGACTGCTTTTTCACGACATTGCACTCACACATCGGCTGGTCGGCGTTTAGAAGAAAAGGAAATTGCAGGTGGCAAATTTATTAACTGCGAAACTTTTTCTGTGGGCGCTTTTTGTCTTCTTAATAAAGTAAAGCTACATCGGCCATTTTAAAGTCGCGCTATAAGACTGGGACGGTTTTGTGTCAAATTGCATTGTGGAACTGTTTTGGGGACTAATTTTGACCCAGTTTCCAGCGCAGCGTCGTAAGCCAAAAGAATTAGCGAGAACTTTTACCAAACAATCCAATGGTACAATTCGACATAGTACCGGCCCAGTCATACTCGCAACTCCAAAATAGCCTAATAAAGAAATATTTTTACTTTCCTCCTATTTAATCGCATATTGCAGTGGTAAACTGTAGTGCACTCACTCCTCCTGCGAATGGTACCGTGTCTCCACGTTCGTGTTTATCAAGAAGCACTTACAGCCAGACCTGTAGTTTTTCCTGCAAAACACCAGGCTACGTTCTTGAGGGCACTTCTGCAAGGGTATGTGACAAGAACGGAGAGTGGACTGGGAACAAGGACACGTTTTGTCGAGGTATCGAGTACTTTCTCCTTTAGGTGTTACACTATAAAAACTTGCCTATATTTTTTTGCCATTATTTATCTCTATGGTAAGTGAGGTTAAAAATTGATGTTCGTAAAACATTTATAGAATCAAAAAGGACCTATCCCATCTAATCAAAATATCTACAGACAACTAAACACAGTTTTTCTGTTGCATTGACTCAAATGAATTAAGAAGAAGTAAAGGACATGACAACAAAATGAATGATAACATAAATTTCGGTTAAAATTGTCCATGCGCATCCTTCTCCTTTTATCTTATTATTATAGTTACATTAAACAAGATCTTTGTCGAAACAAAATCTGGTTGTTTTCAGACAATACGCCTCCTTCTTTCAACGGCAGTTGTCCAAGAAATATAGTGGTTTCTGTTCCTAAATGTTCGTCCAGTACTGTGGTCTCCTGGAATGGACCAATAGCAAGCGATAACTCTGGTCACATGACTTTAAGCTACCCAGCAGTACGTCCTCCAGCCAATCTAAGTATTGGTCTGCACTATGTTCACTATTCTGCAGCAGACGCCGAGGGAAACAGAGCGAACTGCAGCTTTGTGGTGCAAGTCATAAGTAAATATACCTATCAATAATGCCATCTATATAAATTATCGCGATGTAGTTGCTTAACTTGCTTATGACTCCTGTTTTATGCACAAAAGAGCTCGCCGCTCACACTGCTCCTTCATGGATCATTCGGATGGAAAGATAAATTTTCCTACAGCGGGTCACTGGCACGCTCAAACAAAATAATTAAAAATTTCTTTGTGTGTAAGTGATCGCCTGGCAACAGCAGTATTACCTTTTGGGGAAATGTGGGGAGGGAAGACAGGGAGGCGGGATATCGAGAGAATATGGGCAGTGGGGATAAGGGAAGGGAGAGAGGAAAAATTAGGAGGGGGATAAATTTACGCTACAATCCTTAGTATTTTGTAATCTATAAACGAGGGCTACAGGGAGGAAGCCAAGAATAAAGGGGCTGGAGCTGAGAATGTAAGGTACGAGAAGCGGGAGGTTTGGATCCCCCTGCCCACCCCTCCCCCACTAAAATGAATTCCATTGAGGCATTGTACCAATCTCATACTTATCTCCTTAGATATGCCAAAGAACTTAATTGTTCGATCTTCTTAAGACATAGTGATTGATGGAGTGTCTTTATAAAGTTCAAACTTCGTCAAAGATCCTTTAATGAAACACTCAAAAAGGCTGCTCTAAGGAACCTTATACAACACTCAGTCGACATCTTATCATTCCTCTCTGGACGATGTTAGGTTCCACGTCTTTGCTACATACATCAGGAAAGTACCTGCTACATGCATAAGTTATATGTTTAAAGTATTTTGTTTTTATTTCCGCAGAAAGGTCGTGCCCTTTCCTTCAACCCCCAGTCTATGGCACCATAACGTCTCTTTCATGTGGATCCGCCTACGGTTCTCAGGCTAATATCGCCTGTAACGAGGGACATCGACTGGTTGGGTCACGAGGGCGGTCATGTGAAGCAAATGGGACATGGTCAGGCAATATAACTACTTGCAAAAGTAAGAAAACACAGCATCTGACCTATAACAACCTCTCCTCGTGGCGCGCGGGGTGTGATGGGAAGGTGCAAAGCGAAGGAGAGAGTCTTCCCCTCTTCTCCTTTCCCATCAACCCCTGTTCCCGTCGCGCGCGTCACGCGTAGGCGATTGGGGATGAGTCACACACTGCATATTCTTTGCTGTAAAAGCAACTCATGCTTTACTTTGTCAACTGACAATGGTTCAGCTTTGATGCATTATTTTACGCTGATGATAAGGCGCCGTTACGCAAGTTGATCTTTTTGTAAAGGCATTTGAACAGAAGCAACAATTTTTTATTTATTTATTTATTTTTTATTGTCAGTGAGTATTCCAAGCGTTTAGACGAACCATTATATAAAGTTGTTTTCCAACCCATCTCCTCCTGGCCTCGCTGAGAACTGGTGGAGTAAACTGATCTAAAAAACCCAGTCACAATTAAATTTCTGATAGTACTCCTGAAACCGATGCTTTCTTCCTGATTGTTCATGTTATATTCTCGCCCTTCCATCTTTTTTTTTTTTTCATACAGAAACTAAAATTAATGAATAAAATTAAGAAACACTTCTTTAGTCGAATTCCCTTCTTTAGTTAGTCAGCTTCTTTCGTGTTACAATAAACGGTCCAACAAACGCCAAACAGCATGGTAATGTTCTATACAGTGATTAAAAATTATTTCTTGGAATTATTTTTTATTCAGTCGTTAAGTGCCCATCTATCAAAGTTCTCGCCAACGGAAAAATCAGCCCCACTCCCTGCACTCTTTCTGAGGGAGTAAGTTATAAGACACAGTGTATTCTACAATGTGATGTCTTAAATGGTTATGGACTTGATGGTCCCACGCAAGTATCTTGCCTGGCAAACGGCTCCTGGAGTGGAAACATTAGCAATATCAGCTGTAAAGGTAGGTACCAAAAAATACTGTTGAACTAAAATTACATTTCCTTAAATGTCGAGTCTTGGAGTTTCTCCTTTGCTTTACTGCTTGATCCTCAAACTGTACTGGCACTAACTACTTAACGTACATACACTTGAACAAACCTGTTTACCCAGTCTGTGAAAATAGCTATGTATTTTTGCTTTAATTTCTAAATAAGTAACTATAACAGCAAAAAGAAACAACTGTTCTTTCAACAGATATTCAACCTCCCAGCATTCAATGCCCACCTAACATGGAGACTCCCACAGGAGCCGGGAAATCATACGCAATAGTCACGTGGCAGGTTCCAGTCCCTACCGATAACTCTAAAGGATTCTTGAATCTTAGTGGCGTACTTCCTCCACAGCGGATGAATGTTGGCACAAACTTAATCAGATACGATGTCACTGATCTAGAAGGGCTAAAAGGGGACTGTCATTTCTCCATTCGAGTTAAAGGTGAAATTAGTTAAACAGATTTTGTACCTGTTAGATAAAATTTGTGACACTACTGAAGACTACTGGTGCTGTTGTTTTCTTTTGTTGACACTTTGAAAACCATACTGGTATGAAAAAGTTATCTCAATAAAGATTATCATAATTTTTTGTCGGGGCTATAATAGATGAAGTAAAACCCAGGCCTGTGGTCTAGTGGAGGGGGATGGGAGGGAGGCTCATAGGGGTCCAAACCCTTTTAAATATATCTAAAGGTTTGACGAGATTTTTTTTTTTCAAAATGATCACCAACTTTCATATTGTAGCTTAACAATGAAACTTGCGTTGCGCGTTGCCTCTCACAAGACGTGACGAAATATGGACAAAATTGTTTTTTAAAAACACTTTACGCAGGAGACTGGGTACTAAACGAGGGCACGTTGCAAGTCCTGCACGACAACAAGGGTCTACGTAAAGGAACCCAATATGGCAGACGTCACGTCATGTGAAAACGTAACGTCATGTTTGATTAGCAAAATTCTCTGGCTCCCGTCTTTGGGGTACTACTGCAGGGGTGAGTCGTTAAGAGTTGATTATATTGTCTAAACGTTATATATTTTTATGAACAGATCTCGAGCCGCCCAAGATAGATCCCTGTCCTGGTGATACCAAGATTATATCAACAGCCAGATGGCACAAGCTCTTCCTGCCGTCAGTTAATGTCACAGATAACGTGGGTGTGGAGCTTTTCTCAACAAGTATTCAAAATGGAAGTGAGATGACCTGGGGAGAGTATAACGTTACTTACAAGGCATTAGACAGGGCAGGAAATGCTGCGTACTGTAGATTTCTTTTCACTATAGCTGGTAGGTTATACTTTTTTCAGTAATTTTTAAGAGGTTGGATCTATTTGAAGGCTAAAGATCAGGTGGGATGGGGAGGGGGTCGATTTACGGAGAAAAATCGGCTATGTGTTTTTGGATAACCTTGTTTCTATTTTTAACCAAAATATATAACTTTTCCCTCCTCGTTTCAAACCTGCACTGAATTCCATAACTACTCTAAACCTGACCTTAACAGCTCGTACACTCTGATACATGATTCCACCTATACTCGGCTTGCAAATGATTTGAATTGCGTCCACATTTAAGAAGTTCTTTAGTTAATAATGTTGCGTCTCTTTTGAGCTCTGCTTGGCCAATTGTACACGTCGGTTCCAGTCCAGAGGGACGAGTCTTATCCCGTTTAATATAAAAACAATGTAAGTGCACTAAGGCTAGCGCTAAATAAGCTTACTTTTTGGCGCCTCACATCTACATATATAGCTCACTCAAAAGAGAGAACAGTTAAGCCATAACACTAGACTGCGAACAGTTTCTCGTTTTCTTCAGATTTAGTGAGAGCAATACACGCGCTGGAGCGGCGAAGCCGCGAGACGCGCGAACCCGTCTCGCGTCATTAGTCACGGGCGTGGCCATTTGCGTGTCTCGCGTTTTGCTCGACCGACTACAGAAAAAAGAGAGACTGCTCGTAGTCTACCATAACACTTTTCTCTAAAACTAACGAATGGTATCAGTCATATCATTAATCAATAATTATCATTATTTATTATCAAGATTCACCATGTGAAGAGCTTGCACCACCTAAGAATGGAGCCAAAGCGTGTGAGACGTGGTTGGCTGGGCTTATGTGTACGGTGCATTGTAATAACGGATATGGATTTGCGAACCAACCACATCCCGTATATTTCTGTAGTCCTACTACTGGAGAATGGTTTCATGAAAGGAACAACAAAGGGAAAAAACCATCCCTCCCTGATTGCTCAAGTAAGGAAATGCAATACGAGAGTCAACTTTCTTCAATTTAAGATGGACTTGACCGTTGTGATCGGAGACTGGACAACAGCAGGGACCAACTTTAGGAGTACTTACCATTTACAATTAAAGGGAAACCGGAAATTCCGATCTCGTTGAAAAGTCTACTTGTGCCCACCATTCCATTTGGGAAGCTCCAGAAGATATTGGTTATGTTTTGATGCGATGCAATTTTTCTACTCTTTTTAGGGTTTTCAGCTGATATGGATATACTTTGTTGCGGATCTTTTTCCCCCGATGTAAAATTTTATAGTTTTATGTTTAAGGTGGTTTTTGTAAATGGTAAGCACCCCTAGTGTCTATTTTAGAGAGATGTTCGTCTGATAGAAGAGTCCGTTAAGAAATAGTTGACCTAATTAATCTTAACTGTATCAAGAAAAGTGACCTGAATTTGAGAACAGTACGGATTTTTCTGTTTTGTTATTTTTGGTCGTTTCTTGCCTTGTAAGGACAAAACCGATCAACGTGAAGCAATACCACCCTGCAACTTTAGTCTTATCGCAAAGCAGATAGGCTTAATGCCTACAAAAATTAAGGCCCCTAGCTTAAACGTAGTATTTGCTTTCCATAAAGGTGCCTTCGTTACAGGTAAGCAATTAACATCTGAATATCGGTTTACTCAACGAGGGTAACCAAGGACATTCGAATAGTTCTCGTTATTGATAAGCTAACGCATGTCTTTGTTGGAAAAGAAACTTGACGTATTGTGATTGGACAGCTAATGGTCACTTTGGTGCCCCACCTCATTAAGTTTGTTGCGTCGTAACCTATTAATTTTTTTAAATTCTTTTTCTCCATAATAGAGACACACATACCCAAAAGTGCTTTCGTTAACGGTCAGTACCACTATCTTACTGACAATTGCGGCGGAGAAAACATGAGAGAAGAGATCGCAAGGAACTTCATAGAACTTTTAATGAGAACACCGTTTGGTCAAGCTGGAGCTTGTAGTGACGTCTCTCAGTGTAATATTCAAAACGTCGAGGTCGAATGTGGCGTTACAACTCGTCGAAAAAGAGATACGACTAGTAACCAGAATACGACGACAATTCCTTTGACTGTTAGCTTTTCGTTACAAATTCCTGTATCTGGTGGTCTCAACACATCTGTGGATATAAATCAGACATACGTCCAAATTTCGAAGGAAGTACTAACTGTTCTGAGCAAAGTCGATATGACTTTGAATGTCAGTGGAATGGTTATACGTACAGATCCCTCAAAACCTCCACAATTTCAGCTCTCTCGTCTGGTTTGTGAAGAGGGGCAAGTACAGAGTGGAGTGATGTGTGGTAAGGGCATCATGGTCCAAATGATAAGTCTTTTTCAATTCAGTTACTCCGGCGACTACTGAGTTCTTTATTATCTTTCAGCCGTCAGTGGCTCATATTTACCGCCTCACGCAAAATATTTTCAACATATCCCAAATTTTCGTCCCTAGAGTTCCCAAGAAAATATTATCGAGAACTCCAAACTGGGAAGTGATTCTGTCAATATAATCGGTCCACAGTTACAAGTAGTTAAAGTTTTCCTAACGAAAAGAACGAAGGAACCACATACTTTGACTTTAATAATAAGACGGGGATTCTTTACGAAGCTTAATTACCCATAACAAACTTCAAGTAAAGTTTTATTTTCTAGGAGATAGGAAGCTCCTAATTAGGCTAAGCTAGCGTCGAGTGTGTGTCGCTATGTTTTATGGTCGAAGTAAGTAAAAATGACATTGACTTTCTTTATCTTAAAAACTAGTTAACTGCCCTATTGGATACTTTTTCGATGGCACAAGCTGTCAAGCATGCGCAGTAAACCAATATCAGGATCAAGAGGCTCAGAATTCCTGTAAATCATGTCCCGCTGGAACATCAACTTCCGGTCAGCAAGCATCAAAGAAATTGCAAGACTGCCAAGGTGGGATTACGTTTGAAGCTGTATTTGGTCTTATCGTAAAGTGAGATTACCTTAACTAAAATAGTATTAAGTCAGTTTTTAACGTGAATAAGTGAGGGTGATTGATTGAATTAACTCTTAACCAGTCATCACGTGTCGACAAATCCATCTGGAAAAGATGGTTGTCTGCGCATTTTTGTACAGTACATTCAGAGTGCCACAGGAAGGTTAAAGAGTTTATTTGCAAATTAAGGGTCAGTAGTGTTAGCGTCAATTAAAGATTCTCGTTTATTTTCTCTCTTCTCAGATCAACCCAAGGGAAGCTCCAAAAAGCAAAGCGTACTTTTCAACCCAGTGGTCATTGCTCTAATAGCTGGTGGATCAGTTGTGGTTATTGTACTGGTACTTTGCGGAGTTTTCATGATGTAAGTTGACAGATAAAATTTATTTCACACTCTCTCCTTCTTAGTGAATATAGCGGACAATTTTAAGACATTAAGTCTTACACATTTCAAGCCTTGTAGCACCCAACTAGTACCATTGATTGATCCTTTTTTACACTGATAATTTAAGGTGGCAAGAGGAAAGGAAAAGTGGTAGCTAACGGTTCTATTGTTCGTGAAAGAGTTTTGTTAGTTCGAAAATATAAAAATGCTAGAGGAAAAGAAGATTGTTTAAAGTAATAATAATAATAATGATAATAAAATTAAATAAAGAAACTTTATTCATAGATTCAAAAAAATAGACTATTTACAGATTCAAGAATATGAATATTAAAATATATACCCTATGTACATTCTTCTTGTGTACGAAAGAGAATTGTCGTAAAATGACTATCTAAAAACTACTAATAATTATAAAAAGCATCAAAAAGTTAATAAAAAAAATAAAACTATCTAAAAATAATTCAAACTGATAAAAAGTTACTACTTAAATTCTGGCTTGCGCACTTTCCGATGTAATGTCAATGTCAGATATATTGACTGCTCTTCTCTTGTAATAATAATAATAATATTAATAATAATAATAATAATAGTAATAATAATGATGATGATAATGATAATAAAAATAAACAGGTTTTTGTTTTTTTAGTTCAATAACAATTGAACGAGGTAAAAACAAATATGGCTGAGACATCAGTTGACCACGTTACTGTACCCCGGTAGAGAAAATAAGGACAAACGGGAAGTCACAATTAAAATATACATACAGCTTACAACTGAACTACATACCTACATACCCTGCAATTCCCTCATTCTCTATTTTATAGGAGGAAAAGACAACACTCAGGCTCGGAAAGTTGTCAAAATGGATTTTCTAATGAAGCCTATCTTGACTTGGACGAATTAAGACTGCAAGTGGTTATGCAGAGTTCTAATGCATAAGCTGTTGCATTTTATAGGATAATAGGGACTTTAAATAAGATGCCACGACGGTGACGGCAACGAGAACATTGCTTAAGAAGTGAATTTGCGTACTTTCAATCTCCATCGCGATTGCGCAAACTCTTACTTTGGAAAATGCAAGCGAACTCTTTTTGAACCGAATTGGGTGGTGCATCATGTAAGCCCTCGCAAAATGTACCGGACGATATTTACGTCATGCTCAAATGCGCAGATTGTCCCGAGCATAATACAAGTTACACTTAGAGCCAGATGATCTGTTGATCACTTACCTCTGCTACCTCGTACCTTGTTATCTAAGTTACTTTGCTGCCTCTATCACTTTGTTACTTCAGTTATCTTGTTACCTGTGGTGCTTTATTGCCTCTGTTGCTCTATTATCTCTGCTACTTTGTTATTTCTATTACCTTGTTACTTTGATACTTTGTTACTTCTGCTACCTTGTTACTTCTGTTACCTTGTTTCCTCTGTTACTTCTCTGTTACCTTGTTACCTCTGTTTCCTTGTTTACCTCTGTTACTTTGTTGGCTATGTTACTTTGTTACCTCTGTTACTTTGTTACTTCTGTTACCTTGTTACTTCTGTTTCCTTGTTACCTCTGTTACCTTGTTACTTCTGTTTCCTTGTTACTTCTGTTTCCTTGTTACCTCTGTTACCTTGTTACTTCTGTTTCCTTGTTACCTCTGTTACCTTGTTACTTCTGTTTCCTTGTTACTTCTGTTTCCTTGTTACCTCTGTTACCTTGTTACTTCTGTTTCCTTGTTACCTCTGTTACTTTGTTACTTCTGTTTCCTTGTTACTTCTGTTTCCTTGTTACCTCTGTTACCTTGTTACTTCTGTTTCCTTGTTACCTCTGTTACCTTGTTACCTCTGTTACCTTGTTACCCCTGTTACTTTGTTACTTATGTCACCTCTGTTACTTTGTTAGTTATGTCACCTCTGTTACTTTGTTACTTCTGTTTCCTTGTTACCTCTGTTTCCTTGTTACCTCTGTTACCTTGTTACTTCTGTTTCCTTGTTACCTCTGTTACCTTGTTACCCCTGTTACTTTGTTACTTATGTCACCTCTGTTACTTTGTTAGTTATGTCATCTCTGTTACTTTGTTACTTCTGTTACCTTGTTACCTCTGTTACTTTGTTACCTCTGTTACCTTGTTACTTGCCTACCCAACGAAAGGCCCAATTAAGACGCATCCAAAAATGAGTAGCTGACGCTCCAGAATGTGGGTGTGCAGCTTCCAAAAATGCTTATATGCAGAGTGAATTGTGTAGCTAGTGTGCATTTAAAACATCAGAAAAGCCTACAGGGAGGAATATAGAGAGGTGCCACAGGATAGGTGTCTGCATGTGTCAAATGTGCCACGCCCCAGCATTTTTTTGTGATGTTTGCAATGTTTTCCTGTGTATCCAAAAGGAGTGTAACTGTTGGCCAGTTCTCCCCAAAGGGAGATGCTTTTGTGTGACGTGGTTATGGGTTTGGTTCTGTCGATATTAATTTAATTTTAATTAATTTCTTCGTATTTCTAATTTTGTACCTTACACCTTAACTTCCCGTCAATCCCGCTATGCGTATTTCCTTAAGAGCGCAGATGTTTCTTTTGCCGCGTCAAATATAAAATATAGCCATTATTATTAAATAAAGCCATTGTCGCTCATTTTTTTCTAAGCTGTGTTTTTTAATAGCTCTGTAGAGGTTGTGAATTTATAACCTTTATTTTGGTATCTCATTCATATGTTTATCTCTAGTACCTTGTCAGCTCCCTTTATTGCTGACACTGTAGGGACCTCGAGGTAGTGTCCTCATTAGCGAGAGTCCGTAATAGCAATAGTTTACTTCAGTCAAACGTCTGTAATTTGTTTTTGCAGGGCATTTAGCTGCTGTCCGTTTTGCCGGAAAGTCCGCAAGGCGAGAGTTGGCCCGGATTTTGAGCTTTCATAGGAAGGGTATGAGGATATTTAACGGATGTCAAGTAAAAAAAATGTAATTACATTTTGGTGGAATTTCTCAAAAACCTTTCCCTGAATACAATTTTCGCTCAGTGCGCATAAACCCTAGTCTCCAGTCCTCGTTCTACATTTCAAACGGCGCAAAATGGTTGTTTGGATCCAGGGCTTCGGCTTCAAAAAGACGGTGCTCTAAGGCTCCAGGTTAATCTGGATGGGCTGCAGTGCTCCCGAGTGCACGTTTGGAGGACTCCAGGCTTCACAAGGAAACAGCAATAATAAAATTGTTGCTAAACGATTACCAAATAAAACCAAAAATTTGCTACCTAAATTTCTTTATGCATTTATTCCATTTTTGTTGTCGTTCTTCACATTAGGGACTTTAAGATCCAACGACGCGGACGGTAACGAGAACATCAAAAAAAAAACAATAGGTTTTATTAGCAAAACAACAACTTTGCACGTGCACCATGCTTTTTTGTACATTTCTCTTCCCGTTTTTGCATGACTACGACGTAAACATGCCTAATTTCGCGTTTTACCGAGGACGTAAACAAGCAACGAAGAAATTTTATTTCTCTTACTGTACTTGGATATGGTGCCTAGGAATTCAACTCCAGGAGGGTTCGCCTACATTTGACAAAGTAAGTGTGTAGGAATAATTGCGATATAGACTGAAAGAACGCAAAGTCACTTTTTAAGCTACGTTTTCATTGCCGTCGCGTCGTTGGATCTTAAAGTCCCTATTAACAGTGTAAACATCGGTCAAGATAAATAACCTGAAACGCAACTTCAAATAGTTTCCCCCAAATATGGGCAAAAGTTAAGGATACCCAAGCTCATACTATCCATGAAACAATGGAATAAATTGGATATATCATGAAATCTTTGACTTTTCCATTCTTGTTATGCGCTCTAATTTTTTTCCTCAAAGATGCTCAGAAAGGCAAGGCTTGGAGGTTGCTAGAACCGCAAATAGTTGTCTCACATCGTTAAAGTTGCTCAAAAAGTTGCCGTGCACAAACGACACTGACCCACCCTCCTCCCCCTTTGGGACCATGAGTGAGTGAAGGGAGGAAGATCCTAGTAACAGGAAGATCCTAGAAGGTGGAATAACTTTACGTTGGGTTTACATGCAGAACACGGGTACAGAAACGATTTCCGCTTTCCGTTTTCGTCTTTATTGACTTTTTAGTTGTCTCTGCTTTACAAGACGTCGGTGGCTATGCGATTTCCAGCCAAAATAACCTCGAGTTGCATTTGGGTTGCCATGCCTGTTAATTGAGTTATTTTACATTGGTATGCCTGTGGTGAGGACGGACGGTCGCTCGGGCTTTCGGTGTATGGTCACTTGATTACCAAATTTTCTCGAAAGTTAGATTAGTTCATTTTCTTACCCATGGTGTTCCGCTGGCGCGTTTCGCGCGCTAGAGCTCCGCTATGAACAGGGAACGTCTTGAAACGCAGCTTACTATTTTGAAAAGGCATGCTCGAGAAAGTGCCATAGTCTCTCATCCATAATAGAATTTCTTAATGCAAATGGCCCTGCTTCATTCATTGAGACTGCAACAGTTTTATTGAAACTGATATTAGTTGTGCCTGCCACAAAATGCTTTGAGTGAAAGGCCTTTCAGTGCCTAAAAAAGGATCAAGAATTACCCTAGGTCTAGCATGGCGCAAAAAACGGATGAATAATTTTCGCGCTGATGTCGGTATACAAGGAAGAGCGAACAAATTGATGTTGCTTATTGATGTTGATAACGACTTTCACACTGAAAACTCTCGCAGGTTGTCAAAATTTGGACCCTTTCAGAAGTCGACCTACGTTGAACATTTAGCTAATTAATTAGTACTGATGGAAACCACTTTATTTTCAACTACGGTGGTCATACTGGTTTATATAAATTCCATGGCCTCCACTGTCACAGTAATCTAGTAATTTTGAGTGGATACTTGGTGCGCGGATACCGGTCCCTTTTTTTCTATCATCTGGTACAGCCCTGTCTATAACATCTGTACTACACACGGCTAATTGTCGTCATTTCAGTCTAGGTATTCAAATGTTACATAGCAGTTTATATTTTTTTTACTATACATTGCTTGAAGATAGCTTGAAAGTGGAGATAAACTATATCTAAAAGTGCTAAATAAATGGCCCAGTCTGCATTAGAGCGAAACCCCGACATCCGCTTTATACGGGCACCCCGTTAATACGGACACTTTCTATATATTGCCCCCTCGGTGTCCGTAGTAATGGGGTTTAACTGGTTAGACTTTCAAGATTTGGCAGGGGTGAAGGGGTGTCGGCCCACAACAGTCGTGCCGTCTCACTTTCAACTTCAATCCTACGGGTCTGAATTTTTATGATTGTAAAGCGGATTTGATCATATGTCATATGTAAATTTTCCCTATTTTTGTCGTCAAATTGGGAGCCTAAGAAATAACGGAATTACGTCTCGATCCAATACCTTTAAAAATAAATTTGGACCACAAAGGTACAAAGCTATCCCTTTCTTTTGTCTTTTTATGCTTGAAAAGTTTGGAACGTTAGACAGTCAAGTCTATAAGGCTTTGGTAGGTTCATACCATAATCCAAATCCAAATCCTGCTCCTCCCACACCACTCTAAATCAAAATTGTGTGCCTTGATTAAATATGATGATATGTTGTAAGCTCGGCCTTTTTTACATTATGCTAACATTTTTTCGGGCATTTCATTGAGGCAAAAGCGCTTAGCATTATTCCAAAATTGTAGTCGCATTTTCCTAGAAAAATAAATTAAAAAGCGCCACTGTATGATGAGAGTCATGGAACATTTAGTTAATGAAAGAGATGAAGCATTAAGATGGAGCATTTTAGTGGGCAAACAAAAGCATAAGGCACCAAAACCTGTTGTATATAAATTTTCGCGAGTTGTAGTTTTTTGTTTTTTTTTTGTATTATAAATTTTCGCAAAGAGTTGTAGTATCTCAATTTTTTTTCAAATTGATTTATTTTTTAGGCTATCATTGTTTTTCATAACCGACACAGGCACCCTATGTTGAACAAAGTAACAGAGGTAACAGAGGTAACAGAAGTAACAAAGTAACAGAGGTAACAAGGCAACAGAAGTAACAAAGTCACAGAGGTAACAAGGTAGCGGAAGTAACAAGGTAACCGAGGTAACAAGGTAACTGAAGTAACAGAGGTAACAAGGTAACTGAAATAACAAGGTAACAAAGTAACAGAGGTAACAGAGGTAACAAAAGGAACAAAGTATAAGAGGTAACAAGGTAACAGAGGTAACAAAGTAACAGATCGAGGTAACAAGGTAACTGAAGTAACAAAGGTAACAGAAGTAACAAAGTAGCAGAGGTAACAAAGTATCAGAAGCAATAAAGTAACAGAGGTAACAAGGAAACAGAAGTAACAAGGTAACAGAGGTAACAAGGAAACAGAAGTAACAAGGTAACAGAGGTAACAAGGAAACAGAAGTAACAAGGTAACTGAAGTAACAAAGGTAACAGAAGTAACAAAGTAGCAGAGGTAACAAAATATCAGAAGCAATAAAGTAACAGAGGTAACAAGGAAACAGAGGTAACAGAGGTAATAAGGTAACAGTAGTAACAAAGTAACAGAGGTTATAGGAAGAAACATAGCCAACAAAGTAATAAGGTAACAGAAGTAACGGAGGTAAAAAGGTAACAAAAGTAACAAAGTAACAGAGCTAACAAGGTAACAGAAGTAACAAGGTAACCGAGGTAACAAGGTAACAAAGTGAAAGAGTTAGTAACGTAACAGGGGTAACAAGGTAACTAAGGTAACCGGGTAACAGAAGTAACAAGGTGACACAGGTAACAAGACATCAGGGCAAACAACGAATCAAGAGTAACAAAGTAGCAAGATAACAGAAGTAACAAGGTAACAGAAGTGGCAAAATAACAGAACTGACAGAAGTGACAAAGCAGAGAAGTAACAGAGTGTTAAAGGTAACTAAGTGACAGAAGTAACAAGGTGATCGGACAGTCAAAGTTACAGAGGTATAATACGGGGGTTACTCCAGAGGCGCGGCAGTGACTCTCACAACCAAATAAGTACTAGGTTATATTCTTTATTTCTGAGTGACTTACTCTTTCACTTTACAATTCTTCAACTTCCTTAGCAAAGTCCTTCTTCAAGCTGACCTTCTTCTTGGCAGTTCTCTTGCTTACTCTTTTTCTATAACTGCTTACACCTTCTTCTAAAAGCTTACTTTTCAACAGCTCTCTATTTATTTGTTTGGTTGTCCATAATATGTTTCCATTAATAATAATGCGTATGATACATTTACGTTCTAATTAGCATACGATTAATTCATAACCTAAAATTTCTTTGAAAAGCTTTTCTTCAGTTCTGGAGCAGGATAACTACTAAGGAAAACTAACTAAGTAAAGTTCAGTAAAAGAAACACACTTTTACACAGTTACTTTAAAGTTGTTTGGACCTTTTAAAGGTAAAACTCAAAGACACAAGCTTCGTTAATGGTAAACAAAGGACAACTCCCATATTCATAAATGTGGAAACAAGATAAATAGATGGGACAAAACTTCCTACCTTTAATTAATCAATACCTAAAAAACGGAAAACTTTGTCAACAAACACTAGCCTTAAAACGCAAGTTTCCTTCGTAAATTACTAAAAGTGTCCATTAAAAGATAAGTATTTTCCAAGGGACATCAAGTCAGGAGACATGATGTCCCATTCTCAAAAACCTTATTTACTCACGATCACACGAAATGAGAAACTCTTAACTTAGTTGCAGTCCTAAAGTCATGGAATGCGGAAAGAATGATTTAAAGGTACATGGGGGTATAGATGGGAGTTACCCCTGGTTAGTAACCAACTAAAGAATGACGTACATGTTCTGATTCCGTGCGTGATGCAGGGAAGCACACTTTTTAATATTTATTCTTCTAATAAAGAGTTCATTAGCAAATGAGTTTTTATATCTTATTTCATACTTATAATGAACAATTAAAATGTTCCAGAACCTAAAAAGCTTCCTACAACGATATATGTCAATATTCATTTCAACTTGATCAGATAAAATTTGTCAGTAATCAATCAAGATCACTTTTCATGCTTCACCTTTTATATTTTAAATGTTGTTTATTAGTATTATGTTTGACTTATTCCGTAAAGGATACATTTGGCTAAATCGGGTTAAATATCGGTTTCACTTTAAAAATCATCGGAAAGGTATATAGGACTTCCATTAGCTTATAATATTTTTTCCAAATCAGGGAGATAAGTCCCGTGACAGGTAACTCGGTAACAGGGGTAACAAAGGAGCAGAACAAACATAATATCAATGGGTAACAGAGTAATGGGGTAACAGAAGTAACAAAATTACGAAGGTTATGGGTAGCCGAAACAACAAAGTAGCACAGGTAATAAGATAACAGAGTAATCAACAAATATACAATCCTGCAAAGTGAACAAGTACAATCTCGATCATGGAGACAAGTAATTGTGCATGCGTTGTGTGCACAGACGTCCGGGACATTTTGCGAGGGCTTACATGATGAACTAGCCCGAATTCGACAGAACCATATTCAAGTTAAAAAAGAGAAATTTTTAGCCGTCGCTTGTTTACGTCCTCTATAAAACGTGATATTAGGCATTTAGCTTTCGTAGTCGTGCAGTGATGGCAAATTAAGAAATTACAAAATATCGTGATGCATTTGCAGAGTTGTTGTTTTGCCTATTCAACCTATTGCCTTTTTGATGTTCCCCTTGTCGTCGCCGTCGTGGTATCTTATAAAGTCCCTATTTACGAACTGTGATGTAGTACAGATCAATGATAGGTGTATATATATATATGTCTATATTGGTATGGGGTCGGTTAGGCTTTATAAATATATATCTAAATGCTGCTTCGTATCCAGACGTCTCTCTCTCTCTCTCTCGATGAACATTTGCGCGCAAAGGAAGGCGGGAGGGAGAAAACGGGCTTTTCTTCTTCCCATAGTCCCTTGTGCTTCATCACCAGTCACTCGCTTGTCAATCCGGTTTTCGCTCGCCTCTGGTCACTCCAGCCTCGTTTCCATCCATTTCGTTTTTCCTTGGTGAAAAAATTCGACGAGAAGTTGCTAAAATTGGGCCTAATCTCAGGTTAAACAATTCCGAGCTCATTAACTCAGGGCGCGCGGTACATGTCCCGGCCCTGGCCTGTCTAATCCTCTTGCTGGTTGTGGCCGCCATTTTGAATACAGTCGAACCTCCACTCGTAAGCGACCACCTGCCATAAACGACCGCCAATCCAAATCACCAAAATTTTCCCAGTCAAAGCCTTACAGTTGAAATCTCTAGTAAACACCTCCTGTAAGCGAGCGCGACCACTTTTTGGGCCTGACGTTTAATGATTTTCTATTTTTATTAACCTCTTGTAAGCGACCACTTGACGCATTCTCTGATCTCTGTGTTCGCTGTAAGCACTATGCTACTTAGAATGTACGAAGAACTTTGGTGACAATATAGAAATACACATGTCCTTACTTAGACATTGCATGCAATAAATTATCTTCCATAAGGTAGATGTGCCTGGACCTCTTCTCGGAAGAAGCCCCCTGTGGTTCGAGTCTTGTAAACGACCACCTCCCGTAAGCGACCACTCAGTCTTTGCATTTTGGGTGGTCGCTTACGGGAGGTTCGACTGTAATTCATTAAACAAGTCCAAGCTCATTAACTTGAGGCTGCTGCACATATAACTAAAATTTCCCCAAGCATAGTGCTGCCGCCACTGTCTGAGAGCCTGCCCAGCCGTCTCTCATTAAACCTCTCCTTAGTGGTGCGCAAGTTGTGATGGGAAGGAATTAAGCGAGGGAGAGAGTCATTTCCTCTCCTCTCTCTTCCCATCACCCTCTGCTTCCGCCGTGCGCGCTATGAAGAGGACTAGGGATGATTCAGAGCCACACTGCCTTCTAAAAGTGCGTCTTCGTACTTCCTCAAGAGAGTGAAATACTCAATCAGGAGCCCATAAGTGCTTGTTCACAGAGAATTTATGTCTTAAAAGACGAAGGGAAGGAACTCAAGATCAGCCAGGGTCGTATACAGTTGGGGTATATAATTTCAGGAACACAGTACTTTTATGCTTAAAATTGGGTATAAAATTTTGGGTATAAAGTATACCGTGGTTTTCTTAATTTTGGTGTTTTACAAGAGTTTTAGCATAATTTTTGGTATATACTGAAAGGTTTATTTCGGGTATTTTGGTATTCCACTAACCCTCCCCACCCCCCTTCCCACCCCATCCCGCCGGCCCTAAAACTGCGTATGGCAATCGGGTACTCCTCGAGCAGAGTCATTTAACAATAGAAATTGGAACACATCCGTCATCGTAGCAGTTGTAAAAGACAAAATCAAACTGCATCATAGGCACAGCCAGAGGGACTTGCTTATCCGGACCTTCACTCTATTAAGCGCTCATACATGAAGTACGTTTAAACACATTTGACAGCGAGTAATCTGGGGCCAAAAAGAAATCAAGATGGCGCCCATTGTTAGCGCCAGTGTTAAAATGATGATAATCTGCAAGAACACTGGGTACTTTGGCTTCCGTATTCAGTTTGGTGGTTTGTTCTTGAATGTCTGGATCATTTAACTGCTTAAGTATAAGGTGCCTCAATGAAAGCGCGTTTGAAGTGGATCAAACTCTAAAGGCTTGAATTCGATCCGATGTTACAGGTAAGATAAAACGATAAATCTTAGTCTGTGCAGCAATTTTAAGCCTGTAAAGGCAGAAAAAGAAACTATTTTTAGAGCTGAGGATCCTGAGGAAGTTTGTTGTAGTATGAAGTAGGCCTTGTTTACACACTGTAGGTCAGTGCTTGGGATATAAGAGGGTGGACTGCGGTGAGTGTTATTGCATGTTTAAATTGTTGAAAGTGCCATAAAAATGTGGAGTGTATAAGGTGATTCTGTTTGTAGTGCCAGCGTTAGCAAGGGCAGTGATGAATTTGAAAAAAATAAAGGTGCCTTAAGGTGCTGGAAGATGTAGATGAGAAGAGAACAAACAGAGGGCGTACCTTGGCTTCTCTAGGGAACTTGTTGTTACCTGGAGTCGGGAGAAGAAACAACTTTAACATCCTCAGCTTTGCAAAATTTCAATAATGATGATGTTTTTTTCCTTTCTGCTTAAATTTAATTGCAAAAAGAAAAAATATGAAAAAAAAAAAACGAAAATAAACAAATAAATCGTGTAGATTTCCAAAGTTGTCTAGTGGGATTTACTAATAAAGCATATGTTTCCTTGAACAACTTAACACAATATAAGGAGAGCTCTGACTAATGCATAATCTTTACCATAATTTAATAATACATGGTTTCACGGCCGATAGATGGATAGTTATGACGTGGTGAAATGTCGCAGTGACTACAAATAAAGAAGTAACCTAAAGTGACATTTTATTTAACTTCTGTCCAGTTAAATCATGAAAGCTTAACATAACACATTGTAAGTTTAAGTTTGGGCCTTTTCTCTATACTAAGACAAGTTTACAGCCCTTTAAAATGTCACTGCTAATACAAATTCCGTTTAACTTCGTCAGTTTCGTTCGAATAATTCATTGATTAACAGGTTGCTCTGATTGATTCATAGGTCAGTGTTTCCTTGTGAACCTAAGGAAGGAATCAGTCGCAGATAATTAGTAAACTGACAACAAGCCATGCATAAATAGTAGTACCAATACAGTACGTTATCATGTACCAAAACATTCAGTTAGCATACCTGACTATGAGATATGCAATAAGTAGTTAGAAATATAACATAACATAACATAAAACTTTATTTATACTCGAATTTTAGAGTAGCTAACAAGCTAATATCTTCGAACTGACACTACATGAAAATAATATAGAAATATATATATACATTAAATGCATTATAAGAAATAATAATAAAATAATATTAATGATAATAAGCACATAAAAAAAATATATTATTTACAATTCACAATTTTAAGTTTAAGTATGTCAATTTTAAGTTTAAATATGTGGCAAGAGATTCTAAAATCAATAAAAACTTTTACTTTCTTTCAGAAATATTTGCAAATTAAGATCATTTTTACATCGCGATAAGTTTTGTCATCACCTTAGCACTCTTCTAACATGACAGGAATCCAAGGTGGGGCACATATGAGCCAACTACTTAAGCAGGGCTGCCCCGGTCTGCCTTGCTAGTACTCTTTGCGGAGATAACTTTTAAGCAGGTATTACGCCAGCTAGCTTAGCTAATTGAGCTAGTTGGGTTGTTTATTTAACATTATGCGATCGTGACAAAGTCAGCCATCCTGGCAAACCTAGCCAGCCTGGCTCATGTACTCCGGCCCTAAGATTGTTGCCATGGCGGCTTGTGACCTAACTTTTACGTAAAGTCACGCAAATTTTATTGACATAACCTCACTCTCGTAGAAATTACGAAGGGGATTGACCTGACTCATCTAAACAAGCAAGAGTATGCATAACGTTTTGTTACCGCTGTTGATGACACAGTCTTCTTTTTCCCTGCTTCCCAGTCCACGAGTGGTTTTTCCTTCGCCGCAACGTTTGCAGAAAAGCCTACCCTCGTCGTCTTGGTACGATCCTTGAGGACACGGAATGCATTTTAAAATCTTCACTTGGTAGAATGTTCCCTCAGGGCATGCAACTGGTAAAGATAAACATAGACTCAGTTAACTGTTACTAAATGTTCCTCAGTCACTGCGTAGTATACGTTAGCAATCATGGTCAGCGATCAATAAATATTGCTTCGTATTTTTCAGTTCCGTGAAAAATCAGTGAATTTCTTTTCACTTTAGTATCCACTATATTGGTTAAGTGGAGAGTTACTTCTAATTATCAGGCAAGGTGCTAGTCTAACTGCCATTTGCCTTTCATTCCTGTTTTTTAAAAGTTAATGTTTCTGCATGTTTGTTTGTTCTCATTATGGAGAACATTAAAAAATTGTTTATTAAAAATCGCATGTAACAACGTGAATACTGATGGCCGTAAATGTCTTTTTTTGTTACTAGAGACAAAAATCTATTCATGGTCCGCGATAGCAAAATTTTCGCCATTATTTTACGAGTCAAAAAAGTGGTTCCCCGTTTACGAGAAATACTTTGTTAATTACAACACTTGTTCTTCTGTGAGTTCCAATACAAGAACGTGCAGTGGAATTTTATCACCATAATAAACATCATCTTGGCACTTAGTCATTTTTTTTTTAAATTTCCACCAAAAAAAAAAATTAACACTGGCAGTTAAAGAATGTTTACATCGCGAAAGAGTTCCTTAGCAGTTTTGGTATATATTTCTGTAATTTCCTGGTCGTTGTCTTCAATTCAGATAATTTATAATTTTTATTTCCTTTTCAGTCGAGGAAGCAAACCGAACAGCCATGTTTTTTTGACTGTGTGCAATTACCATTCACCACCCGTTAGTGATCAGAATAATGTGTATCGAGACGGTGCTGATTTCCAGCGTTAACTGTAGGCTCTTAGCCAATGAGAAGACAGAGAGTGAGTACAATTTATAATAATGAATATATGTTATAAGTGTCCTGTCTCACACGCACGATTATACACATTGGATAGGAGGCCTCATAATTTTTGTTCTAGGGTTTTTAAAAAAAATAATTTAAACTTGTCGGTACCCTTTCTTTTTATCAGCTGCTTGTTTAGAGACGCATTTTGGCTGATTTTAAAAATATGCCGTCATAAGTTTCACGTTGTTTGCCATTTTTAGGAGAAGACGGAAGGCATAAACATTCGCAAAATGCACCTAACACCAGAGCCCAGTTGTTCGAAGGCCGATTAGCGCTAACCCGGGGTTAAATTTTAACCTGGGATTCTTTGTCTTTTGTTCAAAAGCATTTTCCTGGATAATTTTCTCGATTCTTTGTTGAGCATCCAGTCAATAAATTGTAGACCAAAAGAAAAAAAATGAATTTTCTTTTTAAGCTTTCATATCTGAATTGAAATTTCGCACTAACCCTGGGTTATCTTAACCCTGCTTGGAACAACTCAACCCAGGTGATTAACTTTACAACTCTAAAAGTTGTTAGTTGGAGATGGCTCTTCTACATCCAGAACTTCAAACAAACAAAGGAATCAGGGAAGGGTGATTTCCATAAAGGCAATCTATTGATAATTACCCGTACTTACCACATCCCATACGGTCGCTTCTTTTCACAAACCCTGGGTTACAAATAACATCGGATGAGACGTGTTCAAACGAGGATCTGTTAGCCGTGCTGTTGATTCCATCCACAGCTATAACGAACTGTCCTGTCGAGACCGCGTACTGCATCTGAAACAGAATAGCTTCACTCTTTTCTTCAACATCGTCGTTTGTTGAATCTGAGTCATAACCTTTGACTGATAACGAAAAAAGCACATCCTTTGAATTCGTGACTGCTCGTCTCTTCCTCTGATTAGCCGTCCAACCACATCCCGGGACTGTGACCTCCTTCAGTATACAGGTATTGAAAGAAGGACATCCGCGGATCGTCTGAAGAGTGTCGCTGACTTCCCGCTCAAAAGCGGAGCGAAAGTCATTGTAACTTTGGCTGCCTTCGCAGGGACTCATTTCATCCACTGATATTCCGAAATGATGTTCTATCTCCTTAGGGGCTGCCTTACCTGAAAGGAAAAAGAGTATTTTCCTCAACCTAAAAGTGTTAGAGGCTCAAATTGGATTTTGTCAGGGGCCGTCATATATTCATTTTTGCAACGCTATGAAGGAAGAGATGATAAGTCAGTAACAACCCTAACAAAATACTGTCTATCAATGGGATGACTTTCATGATTCAAAGAGCGACCTTCTGCATGCTAAACATCTATTAAAGAGGTGAAAAAGAGCAAGATGTACTGACAAATGAGTACGGCAGCAAAAGTGGGGAAATGCTACTTTTTTTGAATAAGAACTTTCAAGCCATGAGAATTCGCGCTGCCCATTGATAGCGTGATCCTTTGCAATATAAGTTGTCCCCCATATAACAACTAGTACCGGCATGTGTCTGACGAATTCACAAGAGCCCGAGGCTAATGTTAAGTTAGTCTTCTCTTAGACTTTTCGAGTCTGACACGGGGTGAGTGAAAAACATTTCTGGCGTTTTTAACGTACGAAGAAAGCAACAAAAACGCCCATCAACGGGAAAAAAAAAAATTGGATACAAAAAAAGAAAGACATACTTGAGCAAGCGGGGACATTAAAACCTTCCAGGCCATTCCACCTCCACTCAGTATCAGGACCGCAATCATATGTGGGAGTTGTGTCTGTATTGTAAGAGTAGCCATCGTTGCACGTCAAAGTGCAAATTTTTTTGCCAGAAAACATTTGGCAAGACATCCTTCCATTAAGAGGTACAGGCAGGTCTAGGCATTCTGTGGTTAAAAACAATAGTTTTGCAGATTGGTCTTTGGGAAATGATGTGATCAGCATGTCACGAGGACGGTACAAACAAAAAATCTGAGTCCCCGACAGAAATTGAACCTCTGACCTTCCGTACACCAGTCGGATGCTCCATCCACTGAGCTACGAAGGACTCGTTGCGAGCTGGGCCAGCTAGGTTCAGTTCCTGTCGGCGACTCATAATTTTTTCTTTGTCCCATCCTCGTGACATGTTGATCACATCATTTCTCATTTCTTCACCAAGCTTAAAATATACCATCTTTCTCTATTTATCACGCAGATTGGTCTTTGTCAGGGAAAGATCTATGTCTAGATGCAATCTTTCCACGTGAGTGACTTTCTACTGTTCAGATAGTGCCCACCTGTTTAATAACCTGATATCCGTTCAAGAGAGGACATAATATTTCTTCTGTAAGAAAACTACAAGTTTAAAAGGCAGGAAATAGGACTCGAATTACAGAGTTCGAAAGCACTGACAGCAATTTCCATCCAACTTACAATAATTTCTCTTACTAATACCGTATGCGGATTGACAGTTATTTTGAAAACATGCAACCAGTCCGCCCTCAACATGGACGTAAAAACAATAAATGCTTAATGCACTAGTTTTACCATCAAATATTATGATATGGTTATACATTGAATGACCTTGGTATTGGCAGATTAAAAACGCTAGAAAAGTTGAGATATTCTCCAATATATGATTTGAACGTGCAATTTTATATCTTGTGACCGGGAACGCTTAATATACAGTTGAAGATCTCAAAGCTTTATTTTTTCTCTCAAAGGACTTTTCAATATAGCGTAGAGACGCTTGAGTAACAATGTAACTACTTCCTTGCCGGATTCTTTGAAACTAGAGACAAATTTAGTAACTGCAAGTGACCAATACAGTAGAGATTCTGATTTTGAATACTTTACTTTTAAAAAAATTCAACACTTGTTACCTCCTTTGGATTCTCTCTTGACCTCTTTGTCACAGTTGGTTCCCCAATAACCTTTGTTACAAATACAGTCGTACCGGTTAACACCATCCACACACTTTCCATTAACGCATGGACTTGAGCTGCACTCGTCTATGTTCATGTTACAGTGAGGTCCTGAGAAACCGGGTTGACAGTTGCAGTAGTAGTAGCCATGACGAGACTCACAGTCGAGGAAATGGGAGCAGTTAGTCGTGCACATAGGCAAAGCTGTAAAGTGGAAGTAGTTTGCATGTAATGAGTGGTGATGGACTTTTAAAACATTTCCTCAAGGAAAAAATATATTTCTAGGCAATGAATGGAAAGCAGACTTAAATCTCTTTTATTTAGGTTTTCTGAAACTTGATGCTGTGGACAGACATATGGTGAATGAATTGTTGCGAATGAACCTTGATGATGCAACATTAAAAGTAAATCTTAAACACATTCAGGGTTACCTTATTTTGGACAACTTCAAGGTATAATTACAAGGATTGCCTATTTGTCATCCTTTGTCAGTAGCTTCCTTAACTGCTGGAAAAACTGCTTCAGCTGAAAACTTTTTGCGTATCAAATTGAACTGATGTGGCTGTGAGGACATTCTATCTCCCCAGTCAGGTTAAGTTGACGGTTATAACTTCGACTCACTAGAATTTTCCAAGCGGGTCTTTACCTAATATAGCAAGGTATCATTTAACTGTTCGTAGACAAAGTGATAGTACCTTGGCATTGGGTCATAAAACGCTTTTCCACCTTCCCTTTGATTCCTTGTAGAAAGTTTGTCCACGCTCGGACACTTCCAGCAATGGGCCAAGTGCAGTTATGTGCTGCATTCCACATGTGGTCTGGATTCGCGGCTACATTCCAAAGATTCACTTGATGCAATGTTCCCACGAAAGCTGTCGACAAACCAGGATTTTTCCCTCCCGCAAGATAACGTTGTCCAAGTACGATCCATCCATCTCCAGCTAGAATATCACCTTTAAGCACATTTGTCGCCTTTTTGACTTCAGGTCCATCGATGTACACGGACACATATCCAGTAATTCCATTCCAAACGACTCCCACGAAATGCCAGAGATCATCTGCTAAAGGAAAGTTAACGCTCACGACCTCGTCTTTAATAGTAAACTGAACTTTCGATTCCGTAAAAGAGAGTATTATTACGTCGTTTGGTTCACCAGGCACGCTATAGGTGAACAGTGTTCCTGAATTATACCCAGAATCCGCTCGGACGAAAAAGGCAATGGTAAAGGAATCCATTTCCGGAATGTCGTCCACATTCGATAGAACAACCATGTCTTTTGTCGTAAGGTGCTTAAATATAAGATCAAAGTTGCTGCCGAGAACTGAAAAGCAAAAAAATTGTGTTAACACTTGAGTTATACTGCTGCTGATGTTTTAAATTAACTATAATCTTTCAAGGTACCGTTGTTGTCGGTTATCAATTTTTTTCTCTTTTGACCCGGCTTTTTCTTGCTTGTTTGTTATTCTTCCTTAAAATACTTTCTCCAGGAAGGCTAAGCGCTATTTCAGAAATATAAGTCCCAAATTCAGAAAAAAAAATACAGAGAAATTTTAAATATCTGAGCAAGATTATTTGAGCCCTTTAACTAACATGAGTGAAAAGTTAACTCTCTACCTCAATATATTTTGTGATGTTATTCTTTGAAGGACAACGTATCGACTTGAGAGGTTGCGTTATCGATCGGAAACCTCGGGAAGGCAATCAGATTGACACTTTTACCACTTTTCAAAATGATCTGTTACTAGTTTATTAGAATAATACTACTTACATTATCACAGTAATATTACCATTTCTTAGAATGATCCCACTTATCGACTGTGTTTTTAGTACATTAGCATAAAACCACTTACAGATATCACAGTGATCGCCAGTGTAAGATGGATAACACTTGCACTCGTAACCGTTTACCAAATCAATACAGTAGGAATTAGGTATACAGGGTTCTGAGGCACACTCGTCAATGTTTGTTTCACATGTTTCTCCGGTATAACCTGATTTACATAAACAGGTGGTGTTTCCCGTGGAGATGTCACCTTGACAAGTTCCTCCATTTTCGCAGGGGGATGTTACAAATGATAAGCAAGGATCCTTTTTGTCTTCGCAGTTTTCTCCGGTAAACTGTGTCAAACACCTGCACTTGTACCCATATATCTCATCTACACAAGTACCACCATTACGACACGGATTGGATTCACACTCGTTTATATCATTTTGGCAATAAGTTCCATTGTAGCCCTCGGCGCACAAACAGGAGTAACCAAGGTTGTGGTCAATGCAGGTAGCGTTGTTCAGGCAGGCGTTGTCTAGACAGTCGTCTATGTTCAACTCACATTTCCTCCCCGTAAATCCAGCGGTGCAGGAACAGGTAAAGTTGTTAACTTCATCACGGCAAGTTGCATTATTGAAGCAGGGTTTGGCTAAGCACTCGTCTATTTCAAACTCACAGTATTTTCCGAAATAACCATCGTTACAGCGGCAGCTATAGCCTGTCTGTAAGTTGACACAGACACCGTTTTGTGAACATTTCGCGTCGCTGCAATAATCAATACGGTTCTCACAGCCACGGCCGGTAAATCCATTTGAACACGAGCAGCTGTAATCTGCCACAAGATCGGTACATGTTCCGTTGTTTAGACAGGGATGTGATTCGCAATCGTCAATATTTCTCTCGCATCGCTGGCCAGTAAACCCGGACTTACAATCACAGTGAAACGCATTAACCTACGCAGATGAAATAACAGAAAATTTAACGTAATAAGGTCCGAGGACTGAGATTTTTAGTCGCTTTACAGCTTAGGTAAGGAACTAACGAGTGCTATTTGTAATCCCAGGACAGCAGCCACTGCCAAAATAAAACCAAACAAATCTATCCAAAATAATGATGATGATAATGGTCATAACAACATAATAACATTTTAGTTTCGAAATTAACACGTTCTTGTCGCTCCTGTTCACTAAGGTTTAAGAATAAAACAAAAATTACCTGATCGTAACAGGTCCCACCATATAAACATGGAGAAGATTCACACTCGTCTACTTCAGTTTCACAGTATGTTCCTAAATAACCAGGACGACAATCGCAGGTGTAGGTATTTATTCCGTCTCTACATGTGGCTCCATTTGCGCATGCATGCACCAAACAATCGTTATTATTTACACTGCAATCTGGTCCGCTGAACCCATCAGTGCAGGTGCAAGAATAGCTATCGATTTTATCTATACATGTTCCATGGTTGTGACAGGGAGAGCTTGAGCATTCATTAATATCAACTCTGCAAGTGCGCCCTGTATAGCCTTGCTTACAAATACACTGAAAGTCATTTATCAGATCAGTACAAGTCCCTCCGTTTAAGCACGGGATTTGTGCACATTCATCAATATTTATTTCACACTTAAGGCCAGTAAACCCCCCTGGACAGACGCATGCGTATTCATCAGCACCGTCAATACACGTCCCTCCATTCAAGCAAGTGGCATTTTGGCAGTCATCAATGTTGTACTGACATTGGTCTCCACTAAACCCATCTGCACACTGACAAGAGTAAGAGGCTGGGCCTTCAAGGCAAGATGCATTGTTTAAGCATGGCATCGAGGCGCAATGGTCGATATCCCAACTGCACGTATTTCCTGTGAAACCTGGTTGGCACGCGCATGCGAATTCGTTGATACCATCATGGCAAGTACCGTTGTTCGAACAAGGATTAGACGCGCAATCATCTATGTTATTTTCGCAGTGGATACCATCAAATCCATCGTTGCACTCGCAGTGGTAGCCGTTAATCTTATCGATACACCTTGAGATAAATTTCAGAAGAAAAATAAATAATTTGTCAAGGACTGCATTTTGGTCCTAATTAGCTGTAGTTTTAGAGTTTAATGTGTATCTGTTTGAATTGACGCTGGAGCATACAATGGGGTCCCCCCTCTCCCCGATTTTCTCTAAACTATTTTATGGCAGATAGCCGCCATTTTGAATGTCTTCAAAGGTCCCAAATATAATTATAATCTTGTATAGTTCATTGGTAGATAAGACGGGTAAAATCTTTCCTTTGGACAAAACTGCATTAGCGATTAAAGAGGCATGCTTTATCCATAATATGATGTTTTATGTTATTATTACTCTTAATTTTAGTTAAACTTTCTGTGAGAGTGTATGCCATGTCTTAAACTTATGAGGCCAGTTTTCGAATTAAAATCCTCAAGCTTAAGCTTTCTTGCTGACAAAAAATTCGGTTATGGACATATTGTTGAAGTTGTTTCCATCGTTAACAGAAAGAAAGGAAGATAGGAAGAAAAAAAAGAGTGAAAAAGAAAAAGGAATGGGTTGAAATAGAGAACAACAAAGATATTGTCAGAGTACAACTACTAACCTGGCTTCATTCGAACAAGGATTTGAGTCACATTCATCAATATTCAATTCGCACTTTTTACCAGTGAATCCTTCCGGACAAATACATTGAAATCCATTGACCTGATCAACACAGGTCGCGTTATTCTTGCATTCTACATTGATACAATCATCAATGTTTTCCTCGCAATTTTTACCGTGAAAACCGGAGTTACAGATGCAGTGGTAGCTGGCGATTCCATCCACACACGTGGCTTCATTCTGGCAAGGGTCTGATGCACACTCATCAATATTCTCCTCACAGTCATTACCCTGGTACCCTGTACAGAACACGCGTAAGATCATCACGTGTTACTTGTTACTATATATATCTTGCATTACTTTTACTGTTGGTATTATGTATAGACATAGAGATTCATAGTTACGTTAGAGACCTTTGCAGTGCGCTCTAACGTAATTAAATTCTGTACAACACTATCGACACTGACAATTCCTTTCTAAATCAATCTATAAAAGTATTCGCAAGAGCAATTAACTGACCAGTTACACAGTGGCATGTATAGTTGTTTGCCCCAGCTTCGCAGGTCCCTCCGTTCTGGCAAGAGGCTAGCAAGCAGTGGTCTATGTCCGTATCGCACAACCTTCCAGTATAACCTGGTTCGCACAGGCAGCTAAATCCACCAGGAATATTGTTACATGAAGCATGGTTTGAACAAGGTGATGAGATACACTCATCAACATCATCTTCACAGTTAATTCCTTGGAATCCTTGTGGGCATGTGCAGGTGTAATTATTCACCAAGTCATGGCATGTGCCATTGTTCAGACAAGGTTGGTCCTGGCAATCATCAACATTGGTCTCGCATTGTTTTCCAGTGTATCCAAGCTGACAGGTGCACATGAAGTCATCAATGAGGTCCGTGCATACAAAATTGTTCTTACAGGGATTTGGCTCGCAGTTATTAATTTCTGAGAAAAAGAGAAAAAAAGGAAAAGATTGCTGAAAGAAACCGAAATGCGTCGACGGAATTTAAACTGTGGTTAGCGGGAGCAAAGAAATTTGTAAACCTGCAACTTCAGTATGTCGAAATAAAAGGTTCACCTTGACAATCCTTTAAACTTTTGGACCCTTCTTGAAGTGCCACTGTTGTCCCTGGGCACGGGACGCAGGCGCGACTTTCAATGTGAGGCTGAAACGAGCGTCGATTGCACAGCGTACATGGAACTAGGCCAGTTGGAGAGAACGAACCAGGAGGACAGGGGACTAACAAAACAACAAAAAACAAAGGCTGAACGTTATTTGAAGGTGATATTTCTGCTTATTACCATGTTAGGCGAATATTCTTGTCTGAAGTACATGTAGGTTGACCGTCTGGACAATATTTTCACCTCCTCTAACTCTCTTAAACCATTATGCCCTTGATTTTAGTGGTTGACAAAGTTCAAGTTCTTAAGTTAAAAAAATATGCCATCCGTGTTAATGATAGCGACGAGGAAATATCCTGTCAATTTTTGCTGTGTTTTCTGGATCATACGTATTTACCGTATTACCTACCTCTACACTCTTTTGATGTGGTGGATCCCGTGCCAGGAGTCGTTGTGGTTGTAATGCATTTTAAACACCCTTTTTGTCCCTCTTTCTCTTGATAAAAGCCCTTTTCGCACGAGATGCAAGGCTCCAGTCCCGTCGGCGAATATGATCCAGCTTTGCAAAAAGCTTTCAAAACAAGGCAACATCCAAAATGTGTAACAAAGACTGTACTAACATAAGGTATGTACATCAATTTTCCCTCATTCCCAACCTTAACTGTACTGAATTTAAACGTAGTTGATATTTGCTATTATTAATTATTGGATGCATTTTGTCGTATCCGTAATAATTTTGAGAATAATTGGTTTACTTCGAGATAGGCCAAGGCTGATAAAAGACTTGCGAGACCTTGACTATTTCAGATATCACGAAAACCGAATCTAATTATTGTTTAATTACATAGTCATTGTTACACAAACTAAAAAGAGTGAAAATGATAGGGATGATTACGGAGAATTCTGACTTGACCTAAAAGAGGCCATTAATGTATACCTCTAACTACATACCTAAACAACTTGAGCGGTTATCTGTTCTGGACTCTTCAGTTGAAGTGTGAAGTGGACATGACAGGCACATCTCTTGTGCCTCTTGTTCTTGATAAGTACCAATGGGGCAGTCCTCACATATACCATGGACCTTATTCAGATATGTCCCGGATGTACAGCTTACTAAGGAAAAAACAATAAAAGGTTTTCGAAGCTGCTCACTAAGGACTTTTTTCTCAAACAACGACGCGGAATTTAGTGTCTTGACTATCTACAGTCGAAGTTTACTGTAAAGGTCGCGTTTCGAAACTGAGGCGAACTCTTGTATGTTAGTATTTAACTCTGGTAAACCAATGCCATTTCGTTGGGCTTGATTAATATGTTTTAAGACATAGGAATTGCCATCGTTCAAATTGAACGATTGTTATCTCACCGCAGACTCCATCTTGGTACATTTGTCCTGTATCACATAACCTCTCAGGCTCTGAAATGTTTACTGACTGCTTATCGGGAACAAATACCATGCCGCGGACGTTGACGCTAAGGCTGCCATTTTCAACTGCCTTTTTGATCTTGTTGCCGAGTGTCTTGGCGAGCCCCACTCCGGCTAATCCTGCCATTACTTTGCTTTTCATGGTGTCATTTACTCCAGTGCTATTATCAAGGCGAACTGCAAAGATTAAAGGGAGGTAGATCTAGCCTTGTGCTAAGCCCACGTAAGTTATACTGTACATCCTTAAAAATAAAAAATTCTCTGATATAAGGTGCCCCCTTGTCACACAAGCATCTGTATAACATAACACTGTGTTTCCAGTGATTAATTTGTCCTTTTTAAGCCCTAACTAGCGACTTTTAACTGCATGTTTTTCATTCACCTCAAGGGTCAAACTGTTAAAACGCCTGAAAACGCACTTGAAATTTCTGTAGGTACCTTTTCATAAATTCAGACAGATATATACATACGCAGAGAAGAACAAACTCAAATATTCTCTTATGTTATGATGTCGATGAAGAAGAGGGGGACTTCTCTGAAGGTATAAGAGAGTTTATCAAAATATAATTATTTACTGTCAAAGAGCACAAATAGACGGACCAATGAAATAAAGCCTTTCGTCTTTCAAGATCTTTAGAAATCTTTAGAATAGAAAACTTACCAACAATATCAAAGCTGATTGTTGTTTGTGGAATAAGGCGAGGCGATCGTCGAGTCCTGCCAAACACTTTCAATGAAATGTAGAACAAGAAAGTTAGATTCTTAAACTGATAGGTAAAGAACCTTTTCAGCTATCAGCCAATTGAACTTATTGTAATAAAATTAAATTCTTGTAGTTTTTTATAGCACTTTGTCGTGTGTGGTCTAATGGTGTTAAGCCCCACCCCAACTCCCCATCGTCTTAAATCATTGTGGTCACTAATGCAACGGCGGAAAGTGAGGCCGTCTAAACCGTTTTTTTAAATTAAAACCCTTTAAACGAAAATGGTTAATGGCAAAATGAATGAATGAATAGATGTTGAATGTTTAAAAGCTAGTGCCGTATTCATTCCCCGTGAGCCTACTAAAACCTTTAGAACTCGAAAAGGAATCATTATTCAGCAACGTTTTGTAATTAATTCTATTCAATACATTTTAAATTAGCATCTTACCAGATGCACGTTTTAGCCTTCCGTACGTAAAGTAAATCATAGCACACGTGACGTTGACGTTTTCAGCTCTGCATTTCTCTGAACCTTGGCAAACATCGTTAAATTTGGACTCGTTTAAGATCTTAGTGAAGTTCCTTTTTATCTCTTCCTGAGTTGAAGGTCTTCTGCAATCTCCTTCGTAGTAAAAAAGACGGAACTCTGCCTTTACCTGACTGGGAAGGATTGGTTCTACAAAATAAACAATATTTTTTTGTTTGCTGCGATATCCTTTTCTAGTCTACTTTTTCATCTTTATCAGATTACTAGATTTTTTTTGCAGAATTTATAACTTCGAAAGTTGCAAAGCCAAGATGGTGTTCCCATGAATAGCTACAAAGAGGATAGCGTGAAATCTTTTGACAAAACAACTTTCAGCCGGAATGATAAGAAAGTAGACCCGTCAATAATACAAATCATTTGCTTATCATTTGAACCTGCATTATGGAGTAGGCATCTTAATTAATAGTATCTTTTTTATTTAAGTCTCCCCTCCTTTTCTTCCACTTGAAGCTCCTGAACTCTGAACGTTTCTATTTAGACCTATTTATTACTGCTCTTTTATTTCGCCCCTTTTGGTATGCTTTCAGCACATTTTGACAATTGATGAACAAGTAATTTAAAAACTTTTAATATAATTTCTCGATGTTTCGACGACCTCCTTATGCTGTTAACAAACAATAAGTAAATTAAAGCGAGCGGGAGTTCAAAAGGAGTTCGAGACCGAAACGGGACATTATATCGTTAGTTTTAACTTGTTTATGTATCTCAAAATCATTATTAATAAGCAATAATTCAATAAAAGCAAACGGAAAATTAAACGTAAACATGCATATCATTTAGTGGCTGTTTTGATAGTCAACCAACATCTAACTCTCAAACATGTATCCAGCTACTGATAACTACGTGCTTCTTTTAAACAACCTTCTTACCTGTACAGTCTGGAAAACGCGGGGATGGAAACCATTTTAAGTTTGGTCCACATGTCCATACTTTTGCTGATATTTCCCCACGGGGAAAGGTCGATTCGTTGTGACAAAATGGACTGCAAAAACGTCCGAAGAGCCAGTTGTCACATGCCACGGCTCCACGCTTTGGAGGAGTAAGTTCCTCACAGGCTTTCGCTAGGCAAGCATAAAAATTCAAGGCTTGAGATATTTCTCTACAAACTAAAAACCTACAACTGCAAATCTGGTCTGTATGATGTCTGGTCTGTATATATATTTATATATTATATATATTTATGCCAGCTATAATTCTATGCCTGGTTATTTACAACTTTTGAGAGAACAAAAAAAAAAATAATTAGAAGAAAAGGCACGAAGGACGAGGACGTCCGCGAAAGAGAAAACCTCTTCTTCTCTCCTCGCCCACGTCAAAGCAGCCATTACGGAAGCTGCAAAAGGCAAGCATGTGGACTCAGCACTGAAAAACATTCAGTTGAGCGACTTACAAACGTAAACTATCTTATGAACTCTCGGGTCAGCTAGGTTGATCCTTAAGCGAAATGGCAGTGCAGCCAGCAGTGCTTGTGTTTGGAGTTTTACTGTTGCCGTGAACTTCGGGACTACCGAGAACAGATCCAGCTAAAGGTCAGGGCAGGAATAAAACGCTGGACCAAACAATGCAAGTCCGACAGTCTAGGTAAGTGTACTCCTGTGGGAATGTCAGGCTGCAAACAAGCCGCCCATCTAAATATATTCAGGGCACCTCAACGAACGCAAAAAATTTTGGTGGGACTGTCGAAACTTCACCGAGCTGTTTTATTGGGATTTTAAAACATGATGTAATTCGCCAGCATAAAAGCGAGGTTGTGAGACAGAAATGGTAATAACTTTCCACTGTTTGGATGAAATTGCTCCAAAATGGTAGAGATTACGTTCCTCAATTGCCTGACCAATATACAATTCTATCGGGTTCTCAGCATGGCTACGTGATAAAGCCAGCGTGGAAACGAGGTTCTAAAATAAAAGTGGCTGTAACTGTCAACTATTTGAATGAAATTGCTCCAATGCTGATGAAATTATGTTCCTCATTTACTTTACTGATATTCAGCTGTTTTTTTCTGCATGAGCACGTGACAAAGCTAACATGAAAACGAGTCTCTGACTATACAATCAAGATAGCATTTTTCCCGTGGAAAAAGATAACTAAAACATAATTAACGGTAATTAACATGGAGACATGGTTAAGCCAGAATGGAAATAAGTTAAGGATACTAAGGTAAGCCTACTAGAGTTTTTACAACTTTTACAAAAAAGACAGAAAGACCGAACCTGGCTTGGCTCGTCACATGCTTGCACTGTTACTAGTCATAAAAGTACTTTAACTGATACGATTTTGTACATTTGGCATAATGTAAAAGCCAACAGCTTGTATGTAGTTAAACGATCAGCCTAACTATCGCTGCCATATCACTCTTGTATTCCATATCTTCGACTTCAGAATCATCATCAAGTAGCTGGTTATCGCACACATAATCAGCACAGCTTCACAGGTTGGTGCACTTGAATCCAGCTTTCCGGCAGTTCTACCTATTTGATGAACATCGGCTCTTTACCCAACCACACTTTACCAACTGGATGCATATGATAGCTTCTGATGCAGGAGGCAGAGACGTCATAACGGGTCAGTACCCATATGCATTTGTCGTCTTCCAACTTGCAGCCCGGTTTTGGTTCAAGCACGGTGTCCAAATTCCACACAAATGCTTGATAGTTGGCTCTCTTGATAGCTTGCAAAAGTGCTTCTTGTGTCGGTGGTAAGGTCTCAGACTGAGCCTGCTTCTTCCGGAAAAGCCACTATCTTTGCTCTTTATCATTATAGACGGTAGTGTTGGGCACGTACTCTTGACCAGCAAGTTTTTCGATACCAGAAAAGATAGCTGTTGGCTGGGCTCTCTTACCACGGTTTGCTAGAGCAGTGATGGTCTCTTCATCTGCTTCCCTGAAGACCTTCCGCCAAGTGGCCTTTCCTTTACCAGCAAAGCTCACAGTGATGTCAGCGCCGCTCAAAGCGTGAAGGCCAGGTAATGCTGCAACTTTTGTGCTGCCGAGAGACTGCACAATAGGTTTCAAATTGATAACTTGGTGCCGCTGACCAATACCAATAACAAAATGCACATCACTGCAGAGCTGTGGATATCTTCTTAGAGAAGGTATAAAGACATCAGTGTCTGGCGAATAGATGTTGATTTTTGATGCTCTATGAGAAGCAGCATCAACAGCGAGGAGGGTCATCTTAGCGTCCGCCTCTTCCTGACTGCTTCTTAGGTGTGTTAGATCCCGATGTATTGATTAACAGTTGTTTTCCCAGGTCACAACGGCACTCGTTGCCCTGCGTTCAGTCGGGTCAAGTTGGCTGATAGATACTCCGTCAATTCCATCTTCGCTCTTTCGTGAGAGACTAGACGCTTCATGGTTACCTTGGCAATGTGCGTGGAGTCCGTTATCCGGTAATAGAGTGGATGTTGATTGCCTTGCCTTCGTACTCTGTTAGAAGACTTAATAGAGAAAGGAATGTCATATCTGTCGAAGACCAGGTGTGATTCATCGCTGTCACTGTTTTTCTTGAGTACCTGTTCTGTAAAATGTTCATCAAGGTGAGCACAGGTTTTTATGATGGCGGGTTTGTCAAGTGACTGTAGCTCTGCCATTCCATCTACAGCGACTACCTTTTTTCTCACAACTGATGCTTCTAGTGGCACATCGCTTGAAGGGACTCTTGGTCCTTGTTTTCCGATTTAGCTCATTAGTGCACTTTTGGTTGAGCAATGCAACATGGTACCATCTGCTGCAAAACGTGACCTTGGTACAGTGAAGCCTCATAAGTGCCTATGACTTCTTGTAGGTTAAATTCTGATCGAGACTGGCACACCACCATCATGCGAGCAAACAAACATCGGTCTTTCTGTAACTTCACAATCTTCTTGTTAACAGTGATATTTGTCTTCTTATGGGTAGATTTCCAGGTTAGAAGACTGCGCTTTTTCATCGGCGACCACAGGTTTTCGTTTCCTTTTTGAATGTTTTCCCTGACAAAAGCCCCCTTACTACTTTGCGCACAGACACGTTTAACTTTTTTGGGCATCACTACTTTAGTTACGAGATTAAAGAGATAATCTTCTGGCTGAGTAAAGGGATTGGTGAAGCTTGCAATTGTGGTGGTCAGCTTGTTGGCGTTGTTCTCTCGCCCCAAAAGTTTGCATAAGCATTGTCTTCAGTTTCTCTTAGGAGTTAAAAAGGCCCCAAGAGAAACTGAAAACAATGCTTATGCAAAATTTTGGGGTGACAAACAAAGAGCACTATGGTATGTTACGGTATTTTCTGGAGTGGACAATACCCGTTTATGGTTAAAATCTCATTGTTTCCCAAAAATAAAGATTAATCAAAGGGCTTTATTTTTCAATTCTTGAATCAATTAAAGGTTTAACATGATTTGTTTTAAAAACTGGCAATCAATAAGATACTGGGTGGGCAGGGGTACTTCGGACAATTTATAACAGCTATGTCTTTCGAAAGCTTTTAAGCTAAAATTTTTGGTATAGTGGCACTTTAAGGTGTGGGTCTCATTTCTTTCAGGCGTTTTATTAGTTTAATTGAAAAAAAAATTACAAGGCTATTGATGTTTTAGTATCGTCGAGAGGAAAATCTACTAAGCTGTAGCAGGTTTACCTCAAGAGCCTCATTTCCATGCTAGCAATGCCATGTGACCACGTTAATGACCGAAATGGTATAATTATAATATTATATTCCGGCACTTTTATTCAAACGGAAGAAATTTATCAAGACTTTATTCTCATAACCTCGTCTCCATGCTAATTTTGTCACGTGACCATGTTAGAAAACGAATACTGAATAATATCACCAAAGTAATTAAAATGTTATTGCCATTTTTGTTTCTGAGCCTCGTTTTCGTGTTGGAGATTTAAGTCATATTTTCTAAATCCCGATAAATCTGCTCGGCGCGAGTTTCCAGTTTGCCAACCAAATTTTTTATGTTCTTTAGCGTCCCCTTAACACATTCAGATGTAGCCTAAAATTCTCACGGGACATAAAATTACGACATTTGCTCCTGGACTACTCCGTAACCGCCCGGTCACGCTACCTCATTCACTACTTACGTTTAAGCCTGATTTTGAACTGACAAACTGCAGGTCTGTTGTTTGGATTGTTGTCAAAGGCTTCGTAGTACACTATAGACGTTCCCCAGGGAAACAGGCTCCCGTTTTCTCGACTGTTCAAAATCCTTAAATTTCCGTTACTGTTGTCCGTAAACTGTGGAGTTTTCCATGTTACATTTGTCAACATCTGTGTTGGGATAATATTTTGGTCTGGTGGACAATATACAACCTCTGGACCTGAATTATCTGTGAATACAGCGTTCATATAATTAAGGTAGGTAAAATTAAGGTAGAAATAATCAGTGTAATATGAATTTGTTTAGAAAGATTGCAGAAAGCCTTAAAATGGCTCACTGAAGCTGTCAGTTAGTGTCAGTAATTAAAACGTTGTATTGCCAGTGCCAGCCTATAGGAAAGAGCCCCCTCCACCGAGACCCGCAGACGAAACGTTAACTTAACAAGTCAAGAACATGCAACAGTTATAGAGAACATTCAGTTTTTCTTTGTGTTTTACTGACCTGAACTGACCTGACCTGACCTTGGATTTTGGGCGCGGGTATAACTGGACAAGCTGGGCGAATTTACTGACCTTCTAACATAACTTTAAAAGAGCATTCCTTCCTGTTTCCACTCGCATCCGTCGCAGTGTATGTAATGACAGTTGTTTTGTAAAAGGTAAAAGGTGGCTTGATCCCAGGTGGTGACACTGTGATCTGCACAGGCTCGTTGCTGTTATCAAAAGCAGCAGGAATCTTCCAGTGCGCAGATGCTGATGCGTTTGCCCTTAAATTTGCACGTATGTCAGAGGGGCAACTTAATGTTGGTGGAGTTGCGTCTGCAAGAAATATCATTGGACCCAATGCAAAAATGGCTGCTGGATTAATATTCTTTTGTTTAAATTAAAATTACCCTGACTCAGTGACTTGAGATAAGGTATTCTTTTGAATTTTGTAATTAAGAACGAGGCTAGAAAGGCTGGTTTGAATGAACAAACGAATATGAACAGGCTACTGCATGGACTGGCCATTTTTGCATTGGGTCTATGGGCTCGTTCGCTTTCTTCACCAGGTAATAAAAGTTTCCTTTCATAGCTACAGACAGTTATTAGCCTTGAAGAGGATTTAAATACTAAGAAAAAATATAGGATTTCATTTTTATGTACGCGCGTAATTATTTCCACCAGACGTCAGTTATAGCTTCCAGGATAATCATATTTTTTGCAAGTCGTTTAATACAACAAATTAAGTTTAAAAGCGACGGTTACGGGCAAGAGATTAAAAAAAACTACTTATTAGAGATAACCAACGTAATGCCATTCAAGTTCTTTTTGTTGAAAACTGACAGAAACAGAAAAGACGAAAAATATATGGCTTGCCTCTGCACTTTAAAATTGAAGTTTCATTAATGTTCCAATTTCCATCAGTTCCACAAAATGCAGTTTTTACGCCACCATCAGCGAGAAATCCATCATGGTTGCACTCAAAATAGCAGGTAGTTCCGCTGGTTGGAAGTGATTTGCATGGGGAAGGGTGAATTGAACCAAACTTTGGAGCCTTGAGTGGTGAACACGTCCGCACTGAAACAGTAAATAATATTCATAATCAACATCAATATCAATATCAACAGCATTGTGGTAATCATTTTTGCCATTGCAGTCAAAGTCAATTCAGAAATGAGATGGAATCATAATCTACGCAGACCAATTAATCAAGCATTTTGACGTTTATTACCCCCATAACAATAATAATAATGATGATGAGGATGATGATGATGATGATGATTATGACGTTGATGATGATCGCTGATGACAATGATTATGAACCTCACTCGGCTTCAGCTAGCCTCTCTCGACCGTCTCCCATATCGACCAATTTCACTTTATTATGTTTCCAATTGCAGCTTTCACTGCTGTACATGATAGAAAAACGAAAACAAATTGGTACTGTTAAGTAAATTAATCACCTTTGCAGACTGGAGGTGGCTTGTCCCAATAGCCCTTTGTGTCGCCTGGTTTTGCTTCACAGGTGATATTCCTCGGGCCAAGTAAGTCGTATCCTTCAGGACACCTTATCCTACATGTTGATCCATATGAGGTGTTACATTTGCCAACCACAGAAGATCCTTTTGATGGAAGTAGGAGAGCTGGACATTGTAAAACTATAAAAAAAAAGACCCGGGGAAAAAGAAAAAAGGGCGTAACTAATTGAAAGAAGGAAGTGGTAAATATGATCAGTACCGTAGGACTTACTTTATGGGCATCTTTGATTGGATTGGCTGCAGACCATTAAAATCACCTTACTCCTTGATTTTTGTCAAGCGGATCAACCTTTTTTTTTGAGTTATGGTTGCACGCGAGAGGTTGCTGACACGAAGAAGCGTAAAGGTGAAAATCCACGGTCGAGTAATTTTTACGTGTGCACGCACGTAAATTTTACTCGCTTAAATAAAATAGAGACAATGTACGAAAGGTCACGCGTAAACGTAAAAGTTGAACCTCGCTCAACTTTCACATTTACGTGTGGCCTTTCATACATTGCCTCTGTTTCATTTAGGCACGTCAATAGCCCCTATGCATGATTACGTCAGACGAGTAAATTTCACCAACAAGCCTCGTTTGTGAACAAAATTTTTTGCATTTGCACTTTTTGTGCGTGGGTATTCTTTTCAACTCTACTGCCTTGGGAATTCATTTCTGTGAAACTTCGCTTATTTTTAATTTCAAAACGAGGCTTGGTGGTGAAATTTGCTTGTGTGACGTAAACATGTATAAGGGCTATTTTGCGTGCGTTCGCACGGAAAATTACTCGGCAGTGGAAATCAAACCCAAGAGTCGGGTGTGTGATTTACGCTCCTTGAGTATTAGTATAGCTAATAGCATGATTTGTAGTGATATTTGGCATAAATACCACGTGTGATATTTCGAAATTGTTATACGTAATTTCACGAGCCGTTTGGAGAGTGAAATTTGAGACAATTTTGAAATATCACAAGTGGTATTTGTCAAATATCACGTACAAATCAGGCTATTATTTGTTTATACTACTACCCGCAAACGGTTTGTAATTTTCACATGTAGGTATTTCAAATTCAGCTGAAATACCACTGCTCTAAGCCAATCAAATTGCAGAAATTTCTCATGTAGTAGTATAAAGATTAAAACCTTTGCAAAGCATGAGGTAAACTGAAGGCAAACAATAATTTACATATGGGCTAATAGTAAATGAGTTATTCTCAACGTGAGATTTACTTTGGTTATGTTATAATTTAACTGAATTAATTCTATTTTACTTTCAAAATAAACTGTACATACTGCACTGGAAACCAAATTAATTACTTTGCTCTTACCCTCGATCGTAACATGGAATTGGCAGAGTTTAAAATTTCTCGCTTCATCACGAGCTTTGTACACGATCAGATGCTTGCCTACGTAGTACATTCTTCTTACACCAGTCACTGTCACAGTCGGTGTCACACCTGAGTTGTCAGTTGCTTCAACCTTAGACCAAGTTATAGTCGTGTAGTTTTTTGCTCTTTCTGCAAATCGTTTTATATCACCGGGACAAGTGAGGCCAAATGAAGGGCTTTCCACATCTGAGGAGAGAGCAATGGTGTCAGGAAACTAACGAGTGATGTTTCAAACTTAAGGCTGATTGGAAGAATGACCTTTGAAGGGATCTGGTTGAAAAAAATTCAAATTAGACCAATTTAGCTCCAAGTTTCTTGTAGGGTCCTCGCATGGTACCTTCTTCCTTCTTACTTCTTCTTACCTCCTTAGACTGAAAATTTATTGCGCACGCTCATCCTCTATAGTACTGACCTTTACAGGATACCGTGGTATTCTCCGACCACTGTCCGTCACTGAGACACAACATTGCTGGTTTTCCTTGTAACCTGAAACCTTTTCGACAAGAAAAACGGCACGTGGTGCCGTATTCTGGTGAACTTTGGCATGACTCTGGTGACACACTCCCATCTTTTGGATCTTGCAGTGGATCACAACGGACCGCTTCGAGGAGAAATTGCAAATACAAAACCAATTAAACTTGTGAGGTGTAAGAAAGTGGTTTTACAAAGTAGGGACCAAAAACATGTGCTATATTATATATTGATATTTTAGTTTACCTTGGCAAAGAATTGCTTTTCCAGACCATGTACCATTTGCCTGACAGACTCTTTGAGTTGATCCGCCTGTGTGGTGATGACCAATTTCACAGGAAAAAAGGCACTTGTCACCAAATACGTTATCTGTTGCACTATGTCGGCAGCCTGTCTGGACGCTGTGAGGAGAGGCTGACAGACGAGGGCATCTGATCACTGGACAAAAACAGGAATTCAAGAAACAATTACAGAACGTTTGTTTTAAACTTTCAAATACTGGTACAAGTCAGATATCTCACTGCCGATAATGATAATGTCGCCCCCATACCTCTCGATCCACATATGCCTCCTTGTGCCACAGGCCAGGGAAGCTCAAGGCCGGGGAGAGGGGGAAAAAAGGGCGTGCGGGCCTTTTCTTTCTTCCCATCGTCGCCCGCGCACTTCCTCTTTTTATAAATTTTCATTGCAGGAATCCCAGAGGGAATCTCCGAGGAGGAGAGAGCTATCATATCACGATAGCATTACACTTAACCGTCTTAAGGCATAACTTACATTCGCATTTTGTTTCTTGCCCTGTCCAGTAACCAGTTGGACTCATCTGACTCTTTTCACATACCCTTTTGGCAGGGCCCACCATTTTGTAGCCACGATGGCATGTGAAGGGACACTTTGAGCCATATATGTTGTCCTCGGTACATTGCTTGGAGCCTCCGGCTGGAGTATATAGCTTGGGCAAACATCGGACCACTAGTAAAGAACCAATGGAAAGCATACTTAGATAAAAGTAGCAAATTAAGGTGGCTCGATATAGTTTTTCAAGGTCAATACCTCCCAAGTTTGAGCGTAAACTACGTCGCCATGAACAAAGATTTGGAAAAATTGACACCACAGTTGTATTAGATAAAGATGGAAATTTGTTATGATCAGGGTTGCAATGACATCGGAGTTTTCATAGCAACGAAATGACGCCATTACCTATTTTACTTGCAGCATGATTTCTCAGCACTGGGAACTGTTCTTCCTAAATCGTTTACTGGAACTTTTTCCTACAACAGCCGCCTCGATGTTCGTGAAGTTTAAGCGAAATCTGTAAGAGCGTTATCGAGATATTTTGGGAACAAGTTTTTATGGTTAGAAATACGGTAAAAAATGGACAATCTTGATGTTCGACTGTTATCTGTACTAAACGAAGCGCTTTTGGCATGCAATTTCACCTCATAGTAGCTTCAATCTTTTTAAAAACGTGTGTGAAAGATCATTGAGATACCTTCAGTCGATTGCTAGAAAGAAGGATTTGATTAGTATGTATCAAGGCGCTCTTGTTAGCGGTAATGTAGACATTTCGGTCTACTTTAAAAAATTAGCGAATAATTTTTAAATCGCTCGATAAATGTTTTAGAAAATTTAAGAATCTTGAGATTAACCGTCCTTTTATATGATCTCTTAGTTTCAAGATTATTGATACATTGTAAGGCAGTAAAATAAGGGCTTGAATTCGCTAATATTTTGTCAGAAATTTTGTGTTTACAAGTGAGAGCCTCTCATTATTCAGGGTTATTGTCTCCAAGTTTCATATTTTCGTGCACAACAATACCTAGTATTTTTGCATATGTCAAATGCATTGTTAGCTACTGCTGTTCACGTGAAAATGAAACTTTGAGACAATACCGCCGAATAATAAGAGGCTCTCACTTGTAAACACAAAATTTCTGACAAAATGTTAGCGAATTCAAGCCCTTATTTTACTACCTTACAATATATCAATAACCTTGAAACTAAGAGGTCATATAAAAGGACGGTTTATCTCAAGACTCTTAAATTTAAAAAAAAAAATGATGGAGCGGTTTAAAAATTATTCGCTAATTTGTTAAGTAGATTGAAATGTTTACATTACCGCTAACAAGAGCGCCTTGATACATACTAATCAAATCCTTCTTTCTAGCAATCGGCTGAAGGTATCTCAATGATCTTTCACACACGTTTTTAAAAAGATTGAAGCTACTATGAGGTGAAATTGCATGCCAAAAGCGCTTCGTCTAGTACAGATAACAGTCGAACATCAAGATTGTCCATTTTTTACCGTATCTCTAACCATAAAAACTTGTTCCCAAAATATCTCGATAACGCTCTTACAGATTTCGCTTAAACTTCACGAACATCGAGGCAGCTGTTGTAGGAAAAAGTTCCAGTAAACGATTTTGGAAGAACAGTTCCGGCCCAGTGCCGAGAAATCATGCTGCAAGTAAAATAGGCAATGGCGTCATTTCGTTGCTATGAAAACTCCGATGTCATTGCAACCCTGATCATAACAAATTTCCATCTTTATCTAATACAACTGTGGTGTCAATTTTTCCAAATCTTTGTTTATGGCGACGTAGTTTACGCTCAAACGTGGGAGGTATTGACCCTGAAAAACTGTATCGAGCCACCTTAAACAACCGCATATATACTATGCATGATTTTATTCAAAGGAGACTTACGACACTTATAAACGTATACAGCCATTTTGAGAAAGGTTGTCGGAAAAAGTGCACGCGACAATCCCGAAAGGTATTGTGGGTGGTTTTGAGTTCACTCTTCTTCAAAGAAATTTGAAAGAATGGCATGAGAGGCCATGGACGTATGTTTGTGAGTGCTAAATGAAAGCGACAAAATCAGGCTCGACAGCTACAGCGTTAGGGAACAGTGTATTGATCATATCCCATATTACCTTTCGGGGTTGTCGCGTCCACATTTTTCCGGACAACCTTTCTCGAAATAGCTGTATTATTATCACAAGAAAATCTCGATCTGTTGACAAAATTGAAGCCGCGCACCTTTGTCAACTAATTAATGCAATTTTAAGTGATAAGATTTACCTTAATTAAGAAGTACTCAAAAGGGCTTCGCTTGAGTTGTTCGGATGAATTTTAATTTTTGATTTTTAAAATTTTTAAATTCTTAATTTTTAATTTTGTTTTAAATTTTTAAAATTTTTAAAACTAAAGTAGTGAGCAGTAGCTGAAAAACTTGTTTATTCTCCTACCCGTTTCGTCTAACTAACGTAGACTTCTTCAGGGAGTTTTACGATCAAATACTAAACGCCTGTATTTAAGCCATTATATGACTAAAAATAATGATGGTCGCAAACATTCAAGGTTTGGCCGGAGTTACGAAAAGGAACAGGCCCAGCTGTGAAATTTTTTACGCATGTGAAAGTAATTACCTATACTGACACATGGATTTACCTGACACCGACGTCGAATGAATATACCCTGTAGAGAAAGTGTTCGTCCCAGGAGGGAAACCTGCATGAAGGCCGGTATATGGGAGGGGGGGCGGGTCGATTTTTGTTCGCAATCTGTCAGCCTTGCAATCGTTTATTTATCCGTACTCGAACTTCCCGGGGTCTGGACGAGGAAACGCCAAGATAAAAATCGACCTAGAATCTGTTGCACTGTGTGCAGTGCAGCAGATTTTTTTGTTTGTGGTGACAAGTCGAAATAAAAAATTTTAGCGTGTGAATTAGCCCTTGCCACGGCCTGGAAACTGATAATAGGCCCTTACAAAAAAAAAAAAGAAGAATCAAAAAAATTGTTGTAGATATGCTCTCTAGATTGCTTTTATTCCTCTAGGTAGTACCTTTCGTCAATATTGATCGGTACCTGAAACTGTTATCTTAAAACTGCATTCGCCAACGTTTCCTGTGTTATCAGAGGCCAGGTAACGGATACTGTGTTCACCAGCTGGAAATTTCTGGCCAGGCTGTTTTCCGGGGCGAGTTATTTTCGAAATGGCGCCAGAATTGTCGGTAGCCGTTGGAGGTGTCCACGTGACTGTTGTCGAGGTCCTGCTCCGGTCAGCGGTTGCAATGATATCAGAAGGACAGTTGATGAAGGTCGGCTTTGAGACGTCTTAAAATATAAGATTAAATAAACAAGAAAGTGAATGATTTCTTTAATAGAATTCTTATCCACATAAGGATTTTCAATACATCAACTAATTACTTGAGGGTAGCACCCGACAAAAAACACAATCTTGTGGAAAGGGCATAAGTGTTAAAAACCAAGAACAAACTCTTATTAAGCTACCAAAGTGAATGCCTCCCGGGGGGTTACTCTAGGAATTTCTGGGTGGGGATGTGCCGCTGGGACCCTGGAACCCTTAACCTATACCAGAGCTAGTTCAGCTGAATTTTGCTACCCTATACTAGAGTAAACTCCCCAAACATGCACATACCTATATAGCCCATATGTGGCAGTACCCCCCCCCCCGGAAATGCCTGCCTCAAGAAACGGTTGATCTTATTGTCTTGATAGCTAAGCTATTCTACGGAAAACATAATTATAATATTTATGTGTGCTTTAATACTGCCGGACCAAGACGTCAATTACACTATCTTTAATACGTAGCATTTTCACAAACTGTGTAAAACACACCTTTACACGATGGATTTCTCGATGGAGACCAGTACCCGCTCTTGCTGTTCTGGTTATGGCTTATAGCAGTATACCAGTGCCAGTATATATACCGGTGATTACAAGTCTTAACTTCGGGTCCCTGGAGTTGGTAACCATTCTTGCAGGTGAATCGGCACTTTGTTCCGTATTTAAGGGTAGCGCTTGGTTTGGTGCAAATAGGTGGGCTGATTACAAGTCCCTCTGATTTTATAGCGATGATAGGACACGTCACAGCTATAGGTCAACCGCAAGAGGGTAAGATAGAAAGCTTCGATTAGTAAGCGTGGATGATTTGATACTTTGAAAAAACAGTAAAAACGATGGCTAAAATATCAAAATACTCTCAAAAGCTTTTAGGCTAACCTGTTGTGGGTTCAGAACGTGGTACGGCGAGCAAAGCAAAAAGCAAAGGTATATCTGCCGCTTTAACCGAAATGCGTTTGGGTAACTGATAGCTACTCATGATCAGTTACCAGAACGTTATTTTAAAATGTAACATAGTTTTTGTACCCTATGAAAGTGGCCGTGTGCATGTACCTTAAGTTTCATTGTTACTGCGTAGCCTTGACCGTTGAACTCGTCAATAGATGATAAGTAAAAATAGGTAGAGAACTAGAAGTGTATATTTTATTTTGCCTAGTCCCTGTACGGCGTCTTTTCAGGCCCTCTCGGTCAATGCATTTCGGTGACGTATCCGAGACGAACGGCCGGGAGACGCCTAGACAATCTCGGAGTGCGCATGCGTGAGCATTTTTGAAAAGTTCACACGGTCAACTGAAATAAACTGTAAATAACTTTGCTCGAGAATATCCTTCACTAAAGATCGGCACTATTGACACTATTACAAAAGTAACTAACCTAGTTCGTGTTATAAAAGAACAAAAATATTACTTTGAATCGGAAAGAATACTACTGTATAACGTGCAAGTAATTTCTCTTTTAGTCCACCTTCAAATGAACAATTAAAATGATAGTCTTTATTGACAAAAAGATTTGAAACAGCAGTTTGTTGACATTCTACCAAATTTAGAGACCAAATTCAACAGCCTGTCCGATTAGTTTGATAAGCTTCCAAATTACATGAAGTATTTCGAAGTGAAATGATAACGAGAAATTTATAGCAGCAAGCGAAAATAGAGAAACGAAAAATAGCTTGTCATATCCAAGAATAGATATAAACTTATTTCTTTAGCTTACCTTCCGATTCTTGATCAAATAATTTTTTTGCGACGCTGTTTTGCTTAGCCTACAAATAGTTTTTGAGATGAAATAAAGTTCAAATTAGTTTAATGAGATAAATGAAAAAGAAAGGCCAAACGACTTTCAACAATGAAAACGTGCATAGAATAAAAATGGTCGTTCCTCTGTACTCTCCATCGCTGTTGGGCATCTTTCATCAGCGCGGAAAGGTTATTGACAGCTCGCCCGCTTCCAAAAGCTCCGCCCCAAGTGAGACAAAAATGTCTCACTTCTTCGAGTTTGTCTAGGCCTCAAAAACTTTCTCGGACCACGTGACCCGAAACGCATCGGCCTCGCATAATAATGAGGCCTAGGGACTAGGCAATATTTTATTAGTCACCAAAGAATGACTTGTGGCCTGGAATGAAGAACAAAACTTTCGTCCCAACCGGCACCCGCTTCCAAGTTTAACACTGGTCAATTCAGGAATGCGATCCGAAAAGGCGCGGACGCAACATCTCTATCACTAAATAATACCTTGACATTGAAGATCTGTACCAGACCACTTCTGATTTTCCTGACAAGTTCTTTCTTTCGATCCGCCCGCCATTTGGTATCCCCGTTTGCAGCTGAAGGAGCAGGAGGTGCTGTAACTACGCCTATTACACCTTACACCAAACCTTGAATATGAGTTAACTGGTGTATGGAGTGGTGGGCACTTCACAGCTATGACATAACACAAAGACATATGTATTACCTTAATTTGTGTTGCGCTAGATTTCGTCATGTGACTTGGATAAAGTACCAACAACGGTCCCCTGTCTAATACTCAGGACAGAGAGAAGATATCCAACGTAGAATAAGGTAAAGGTTAGGGTTTGCTTTATAGTGCAAGTGCACTTAGCTTGAATCAGGGACGGCTGAGAAACAAATCCAGCAACTGGTCTGAGCTCCGACCTCTCGGCCTCGCTGCGCCCAAAAAAGAAGAATTAAATTAAAGGGGAAGGAAAAAACCACTAAAAAATAGTAACAAACATATATCTTAGAATAGAAATATTTGACAGATTTTTTCGATTGTAAGGGCTGTTTTGAACGTGAAATTAAAGTTATATAAGAACAGTAAACAACCAAAAATATAGAGTGTTATTGTGTTGCAAGAAAAAAGCTAATCATACGTGAGAAAACTAAACCGCAAACAGCAACGGTTACCTCAACTAGTTTGTGTTTTCAAAAAGGTCATTTGCTTCGTGATCTGAACTTAATTATGATTGTTCAATGCACAATAAACATTTCTGAATTATTTTAGTTGCTCACGGTTTTCCAAGTTTTCTGACAGTGACGATATCTTACCCTCACACAAAGCAAGACCTCCTGACCAGCGAACTAGATTTCTGCCAGGAATCTTTTCACAGTATTTAACTCCCGATCCTTTCTGTTTGTATCCTTTATAACACTGCCAGCGGCAAAGGCCTCCATACACATTTGTACATCTGCCAGTCACAAAATATCCATTTGCAGGTGGCGCTAACAAAGGGCATCGCAGAACTGAAAAAGAAAACTTATTTTCGACTTGAATCCTTATATTTAGACTCAGCTTCCGTAAATAAATAAACATCCACTTGAAGGTAAGCCTGCGATCAATCGAAAGCAAGTAACGTGTCAGTGGAGAACTTCAAAAAACTGACCACAACATAGATGTGTAATTCAGGTTGCAGGCTCCCACACTAGCTAGAAAGTTTGACATTTACCGTTGGTTTCCCTGTGGTGCGGACGGTCGGGTGGACGTACAGTCACGTGATTACCAATATTTCTGGGGTATGGAGCTCCGCTTATGCGAGCGAACGCGCACGTGGGGCTCCGCTATTAACAAATGAATTTTTTTTAACCTAAAAGCCTTAGATGCAAGGCTTTTTAAGGAAAACCAAGCTTTACTATCCTATGTGTTCAAAGTAACCTGTACACAGACGTTCCCTTCCCGGCTTGAATTTGTTTCGAGGGAAGGGGCGTCTGTACACAGGCTATGTTCAAAGCACTTCTTTCCCCTGTTTTTCCTACTGCTACTGATTTTTTCATGCAGTAAAGGGACCAAAAGTAGCCTGGTTTAATTATTAAGGGGCGTTATGCGTTATTAGCATCATCAGTGAATTACTGCCACGTTACTCATTTTAGAAACAGAAAATAGAAAATAGAGATTACGCGAAAACAAACTGGGTGAAATTTGCGTCAGAAAGCACAGAATTTTTTGTTCGCTCTGTTTGTTTGTTTTTAACTTTTTTATGCGACATTTTTTAGCTTTTCTTGGCTCCAGGGAGCAAAGTTTGTGTCTGCAAAATTATGGTTTACTGAGCGGCTCAACTGGAAAGTATGTACATTTTCAGTGGTAAATGACATTGTTACATAGTTTCCTAGAAATAATATTGCAACATTTCTTACCTCGAACGTTGACCCTGAAATAGCAGAACGCCTTATTCCGTGACTGGTCCATGGCAGTGTATATAACAGTGTGACTTCCCTCAGCGAACTCGTGAGTAGACTTAACATTGGGTCGCGGTTGCGGGGTGATAGGAAACATGTCATTGTCTGTCGCTTTCACTAGTGCCCAGGACACTGTCACTGTGGTTTTACCTTTCTGGGCATAGACGGTTTGCCTTGATGGACAGTTTAAGAATCTAGGTGGTTCGACGTCTGTAGAATAAAAACAGGGATAGGTTTTAACCATCAGAAGTTTTTAATCCTTAAATAAGCGCATGCCGCGAAATTAACTAGTTTTAACATTGAATATAGACCAATCTGACTTAGCCGGCATGTAATTCATTGGCACAGTGCACATAAGAAAGTAAGTAAATGGCCAGGATTAAGTTATTATTATTATTATTATTATTATTATTATTATTATTATATAGAAATAACAAAAATGTAGAAATAACAAATCCGCGACAAAAGAGGGATCGAATAAGTCTTAAGGGCTTCATTCACCTTGATTTAATTAGAGTCGTGTTAATTATTCTACTTGAAATTAAAGGTAACAATAACTATATTGCACATTTGCTAGCAATGCAACAAATCCTATATTTACCTCTACAGGTAAAGCCACCTTGTGTCCAATTTCCATTGTCACACATTGTGGAAAAAGGTCCAAGCATTTTGTACCCTTTGCCGCATTTGTAAAAACATCTTTGACCATGTAAAGGCTTTGTTTTGCAAATACTCGGAATTATGTCACCATTCTTGGGTGGATAAACTGGTTTGCACTCTTTTACTGAAAGGACAAGAGAAATAAAGACCTTAAAATCATAAACTGGTCGACAACTTTTCTCAGTTTTTTAATATTAAAAATATCAACTCCTTTCTTCCTTTACTTGCTTTATTGTTTGGTCAATTAGGGTCGGTTAAGATTGCCAGATTGTAGATTCTTTTCTGTTTTTTGGGGGGGCGAACTTCCGTTTAAATTAAATTAAGAAATTAATCCAAAGATCTTGCTAAGGACTGAGTGTTTTTTTTTTACCTCGGCAGTTCGGAGATTTTCTTGGGTACCAGCTGCCATCACTTGTACAACGAGATGAGGAACTACCATCAATTTTATAACCACGGTCGCATGTAACTGTGCAAGTCTTCCCATAATTCACGTGTGATTGGTTGCTACACTGAGGTGATAACTTTCCTTGGCTAGGAGGCGGCCAATTGCTTGTGGCGCATGTGATTGCTGTGAAGATAAACATTGTTTTTTGTAGTTTCATTATAGAATCATAAGAATCACGTCATTACTACCATGTCTTCCGTTCGGGTTTGAGCTAAGCGTGACTTTGCACACATGGAGGCCCGGGGGGGGGTACTCCCATACATTACCTATACGGGTATGTGCCGCCCAAAGGGGTCGTGATTTTGAAGCTCCTGATTTAGAACGGGGTATCCATTTCAGAGGCGTTTTCTAGAACGGGGTATAATATTTCGAACGCACGAAAGCTCCACTTTTGTAAGCAGCCATTTGAAAGTATTCAGGGACAGATTGCTTTTAAAAATACGGTTCAATGCGTTGACAAGCAAACCGTTGTACTCTTGTTGCACCCTCGAACGGAGTATAAAAAATTGGCCCATTTCTAGAACGGGGTATCAGTTTTAGGGCGAATTCTAGAACGGGGTATAAAAAATTGGCCCATTTCTATAACGGGGTATCAATTTTGGGGGAAATTTTTCCTAGAACGGGGTGCCAATTTGGAGTCCCGGGCGGCACATACCCACCCAAAAAATACCCAAGTGCCCCCCCCGGGCATGGAGGCACCCTTCAAATTAACTGCCGTCCGCTTAAAAACAAAACAAAAAATATAGACAAGAAGAGTGCCATTCAACTTATTTGCTAAGACGAATGAAGGCGGAAAACAACAAACGGCACAGACGAACGCCGTCCATTGTGGAATACACTTGTTTATTTTTCTAGGAAGACTCTAGACTGCTTATGAATTTAATCATGAATCATATATATTGATCCTATTTTGTTGTCAATCATGTGACGTTACAAGACAGTGTTGTCCACCGCTGAGAACTTAACAGGCTCAAAAATCGCGAAATTGACGCATATAATTAGGAAGCACACTTTGAGCTCCGATCTGAAACATTCCTTGATGATTATAATGCGTTTTTATTTTTTAAAAGTGATTTTCTATGGTTGAAAAACCTTTCTGAATTCTAAAAGGACATTTATGCCATTCACGTCACTAGCACTTTAAATGATGAATATATGACTTTCATATACCAGGGGCACCCAACGAGGATATAATTCAAAACCACTTAACATAGCATTGTTGAACGTATTTTAGTATTTAAACGGTAGATATAGGCATATTTTTATCCCCTAAAAACTTTTCATCTGTTCGGATTTCCTAGCTGAAAGTCTAGTGATCCGAAAATTATAGGGATCAAAACTTACCTTCTCGAAAATTTCAGCCAGGAAAAGGCTCCCGAAAATTCTAGGTAGCCTTTTTTAGGGTAAATGTCCGTTTAAATTGGGTAATTACACCATTTTGTAGATGTTCGAAAATCCTAGGAGAGGCAAGCAAGCAAGAAATTTTACAACAAATGTTCCGAAAATTCTAGTTCTCAAATCGTCTTCCGAACAGATATTTTCCCGAAAATTGCCGTTGGGTGCCCCTGATATACTGGGACCGCGGAATGAAGAGGCTTACTTTTCGCAACTGCAGGCGTTATTACTGATTCTGTAAGTGTTGAACAAAAAACAAATACTTACAGACGCACTTTTTCGAGTTGTAAACATTACGCCTATATCCAGAATTGCATGTACATCTGTAACTGCCAAAAGTGTTAATGCAACTATGTGCGCATCCTCCGTTATAATTGTTACATTCATTGCAGTCTCTTGATTTTGTGCTTGATCCGTAGCAGTCGCTGCCGCCATAGGCAGGAGAAGGATTGTTGCAGTATCGTCGCACGGTTTTGTGACCACCAGAACAATAGGCAGAGTACCACGAACTCCACGATCCCCACCCTCCGTGTCTTGGTGATGGCCTTGAACGTCTATAGGATGACGATGACGATGACGATGACGACGCTGAAGAGTTCGCCAAAAAGGGGAACAATAATGTTGAACCAAATACTACTACTACCACTACTACTACTACTACTACTGCTTCTACTGCTAATAATAATAATAATAATTATAATAATAATAATAATAATAATGATAATAATGAATAAGCTATTTATAAAGCGGCTCTTTCACAAGGGTCCAAAGGCGCTTTTACATTTAAAATTTGAAAACTCACAATTAAAAACTAGAAAAAGCTAAAGATAACCTAAATGTAAGATATAAAACAAAATGAGAATAACAATGATGGGACAATGTAAAGGCGATGAAAGTGAACAACGTTGTCTACAAGGAAAATTTAATTCAACGGCAGCGAAAAGGAAAATAAAATGTAATGAAACGATAACTACAGTACCAATAATAAAAAAAAGAAACGCTTTTTTACTCATATACTCACAACTTCGCCTTCGCGATCCACAGCCTCCGCATCCTTCCACGACACTGAGGTTGAAGCAGTTTAGCAACGCCAAAATCGCAATGAATGCGGATAATTGCCTCATTATCCTTTGAAATAAAGGGGTGGAAACGAACAAAAATGTGGAACCTTTTAAGTGCCGAAACTATTCATGTAATCTCTCTCCTACTCGTCGTCTGAAGCGAGAGAGAGCTAGGGAGAGAAAGTAATATAACATTAAGAACATGTAATTATTAGGTCATAAGAACCATTTTTTATCGAAATTCATGAAAAGTAATTAAAAGAAAGCGTTTTTTTTTTTATTTTTGAACTTTGGTGATTTTCTTTAGGATTTACTGAGATTTTAGTCGCGACTCTCCGCAGTTAACAGTAACAGCAACTTAGTTTGTTGTTGTTGTTGTTTTTTGTACCTAATAATATTTATTTAAAGGGGCTGTGTCACGGCAGTCCAGTTCATTTTGTTTAATTTTGCCAATTACCTCGCCCTCAATTGCCATGGAACTTAAATTAAGCAAAGAAATTACATGTAAATGACAAAATCAGAGATCCGAGACGAACAAATATGTCTCCTGAACATTATTTTTGAAGTTGCAGGCCGCAGGGATCAACTTTGAAAAACTGTCGGTTAGGCTGATTTCAAAGACCCTAATTTCAATCCGTTTCAGTCTTCTTCAGTTCTGCCCATCCGTGGCATCTGTTGTATCTGTTGTGTTATTTTCACCTTCCTTTAAAGTTGAAAGGGGTTATTTTTGTGTTTCTCTTAAATTAACGGCATTTTGTAATTTCCTAATTTGGCCGAATTTCGAGACACAGCTCCTTTAAAAAAAGTAATGAAGAGTATAGGCTGTCCAAAATTACTGTTGGGCCGGGGCAAGAGATCAAAACAAGAAAGCTGTCCTATTGTGAGCTCTTGGCCGGCGCCTTTATCTCGGTGTCTCGAGAACAAATGTACTCGTCGGATGATAGCTGTCACATTAAATAGTCCGGATCAAATTAGGCGAATATCACAACGAACCGAGCCTAAGGCGAAATTATTTATAATATCTGCCAGAGTAAATTGATTTGCTAGTACAAAGAGGAAGTACAATTCGCTTTCATTTACATTTCAATGCCCCTTTGTCAACTGTACGTGTTCAAAACCGAAAGTGGCTTCAGCTGAAAAGCCGTTAGGTGAACGGATAAGCAGGCAGCAAAACGAAATTATTATATAAAAAAAAGAAAAGAAAGAAATCACTACCAGTGTTAAGCAAAATGAACCGAACTTCATTAAAGCTTCCGCGAATGATATCATTATAATAACCATCTGTTTCAGGGTTTTGGATGAATTTCCCAATTTTTTTTTTCCAAGACGACTTGTGAAGTGCGTTAATTGCTAGGCATGTACATTTTTCTGTAAAATAAGATGTGACAGCGGATATTTAAATTTCAGTGATGATCCCTGTAGCGGATTATTTTCGTCGAAAACTGTAAAAAACAGAGAGAAGTTGAGTTGTGAAGTTGGTTGTGTAAAAAGGGGCGATTTTTAGTTTTAGTTGAGGGAGCCGTCGTCCCCGTTGGTATGGTTTTAAGCTTTTTGGTCCCGTTCATTTTGAAATTGAAACTCAATACAGAACTGTAACTTTAACCAATGTCAAAAGAGCCTTATAAAAGTGAATTTGGAGTTAAATCCTGTTAATATGATATGGCTCTGAAAAAGGAAGCAAATTTTGGAGACTCGGGGAGTAACAAATCATCCGGAAAAATAGGAGTGATCTTGATTAGAATATTCCTGCAAATTTAAAGTGTGGTCCGGTTTTTCACATTCAGCAAAATGAGCATTCGTAATGCATCTAGTATGAGGATTATCAGTGCGATAGGATAGCATAAACACCCTTCAAGTTTACATACGATTAACTTGTTTAGTGTCTAATAGCATGAATTAAGCCCGCTTTACTCAAATTGAACGTTTTCAGATCTGATTTTGAAGGCAAACCTTTGATCAGAGTCGTTTATTAGATAGTTCCGCGTGAGGCAAGGCGGAGCAGGGATGATGCGTGCAAGAATTTGCTCAGCTGAAACTGAATGACTGTCACTGAAAAGCAAATTCAAATAACTGTGCACATATCTTTAAGTAAGCGAAAAAGCTAATAGCGTTTTCCCATTTCCTACAGATGATACAGATCAGGTCTCCGTTTTTCAGAAAAAAAATGAGTAAGTGCAACTTAAAGTTCCTTAATGTGAGCCATCACAATCCGCTGATATTTTAAGAAAGTTGTGAAGAGCACAATTCCATGTTGTGTTGTTAAAGGCACACTACGCCAATTTCACTGACAGAACCGAATACTCCTTGAAAAGTTTCTACTGCCACAAGGGTAGCACATTTTGCAAACAGATGACTAAACAGCCCTAGGATAGGCGATGATACGTTTGATAGGCTATTTTATTTATTAAAAAACTACCGCTGAACAAAATCTAGCACTTCACTTACTTTTGATGTACGTACCTTGTTTTGTCCTGCAAGAAAATCAAATTGTTATTTCCGTGGTGAGTATTCTAAAACCAAGATTCAAATGCTTGATCTATCCAGCGAGTTGAAATTTTAATAGATTCACGAGCTCATCATTTTCAGTTGTTTCGAGAAGTGCTCTTTGTCTAACTCAGTTTAGCGCTGACATCAATATGTATATTCTCCTCACCATCATCTATATATTCCTTATGGTGCTAATTGGGAAAAGTTGGTTGAAAAATCACAGCATATTGTGTCGGATCGTTACCTTAATTCTCATAACCATTGGGTCAATTAATTGATCAGCAAGGGTTGAAGCTGAAACTTATCTTTCATGGGAGTTAAGAACAAACATGGCGAATATCCAATAGCGCTTTCCACTAATGACATCACAAGTTTCTGAACCCTACTGTGACTCAGACATTTATAAACCTGACCCAGGCTCCCGGGGGGGGGGGTACTCCCATAAATTACCTATACGGGTAATACGGGTCAATGCGTTAACAAGCAAACCGTTGTACACTCTTGTTGCACCCCAGAACGGAGTATAAAAAATTGGCCCATTTCTAGAACGGGGTATCCGTTTTAGGGCGAATTCTAGAACGGGGTATAAAAATCAGGTCCATTTCTAGAACGGGGTATCAATTTTAGGGGAAATTTTTTCTAGAACGGGGTGCCAATTTGGAGTCACGGGCGGCACATACCCACCCAAAAAATACCCAAGAGCCCCCCCCGGGCCCAGGCTGAACCTGAACCTGACCAGTGTAAGAGTTTAGTATGGGAAAGTCACGTTTGGCAACAAATTTTCGTCGTCTTTGATGTTTATCGTTAAAGGAAACAAAATCCAGCTTGGTTTCGATAATAAATATCCTGAAAATAATCAACGTATGCCAAGACAACGTTAAACGTGGAAAAAGACTGTACAGATGAATGGTTTTATTTCTTATGCGGCGTCAAATACTGTGGATAAAATTATGTTAAAATGTGTGGAGAGCAGGGCATCATAGCTGTGCATGAAACGACGCATTTGGTTAATTTCTTGGCAAAGGTTGCTAATTTTTTTTTTTTCGAATGCTTATGTTACGCTACTTAGTACTACAGGAAAAAATAAATTACTAAAGCATTCTTCCCGGATTCATATGGTGTACCTGGCCGCACAACAACAGAACCAACGTGTACAATTTCCTGTTTGTGCTAATGCTGGTGTCCTTTTTACCTTAGATATTCTGTCACAGGCTTGCGAGAAGCACATCCAAACTCGATTTTCTCTTTAGCAATTTCGGTTTTGGAGTATTACACAGACAATAATGGTATGCCTAAGACACGGAGCTAGGGACTCGATTTCAGTAGCCTTCTTTGATCGAGACGCTTTATTTTCTGATTTTAACCATTTATTTGAGTTACTGGACCAGGTTTTGCTCCCTATAGCAGTAGTGCCTTTTATATATTGGAATTATGCTCAAAAAACATTTTAAAAACGCTCACTGCGATGTCGGAAACGCATGTTTCCCATACAAAGAGTACATTTGTCTGAGTCACGCGGGAGGTCTAAGGTGACAAAACCTATTTTTAGTAATAGTGGAAAGCTGAATACCAACCTTGACACATTCTTACCATCGAAGCTTACAAAAGTGAACGTGCAGGCTTTTTTTCATAACAATTGACACAAAGTGAAAAAAAATAGATACTTGTCATTTTAAGGGGTTAAAAGGCTCTGACCGGAAGTCACCCGATCCCTTTGGGGAATTAAGAACAAACATGGCGGAAATCCAATTGCCGAATCAATATGCACGTACACAGCCGGGGGGGGGGTACTCCCATACGTTACCGAAACGGGTATGTGCCGCCCAAAGGGTCGTGATTTTGAAGCGCCTGATTTAGAACGGGGTATCCATTTCAGAGGCGTTTTCTAGAACGGGGTATAATATTTCGAACGCACGAAAGCTCCACTTTTGTAAGCAGCCATTTGAAATTATTCAAGGACAGATTGCTTTTAAAAATACGGTTCAATGCGTTAACAAGCAAACCGTTGCACTCTTGTTGCACCCTA